AATTTCAAGTTGCGTTACGGAGTGAAGGCAACTAGAATCATCACAAGTGAAAAATATCGTCCATGGGTGGGATTGAACCTCGAGCGCACATCATTGCATCTGAAATAACCCATCACACTAACCGCTGCACTAACGACACACTAGCAATATTCAAAAATAGGATTATATGTTAGGCGGACAACCGTCTGGGCGCATCCGCTGCAATGGCTCCGCGTCCACTTTGCGAGCCGCTGCGCGACTCGCTTACATAATCTGCGTCCTTAACTTTGTAGGGAGGATTGCATTTCGTGCTGCTTTCTAAGCTGCCCCCGGCGGCACCGAGCTTCGCGATCATGAGTCGAGCAGGTTGTGACGCAGATTCGAATGTTCTTCAACTTGTTCCATTCGCGCGGGTACTACATACAGTACCCTATCGATCATGACAGGTCATGCTGGACGTCAGATCCAGTCGTGGAAGTGAAAGCATCCGACGGTGATCAAGCCGGCGGCGTCGGACAGAATGCGAGCCGGCGTCGACGCCGCGTACTCTCATGCCAGTGATCAACTTGAGTTGGAAGCTTGAAGGGTCACGTTGTCTGTTATGGATCGCTCTCTCCTAGCAATTTGGATGCCTCTGAGCCCGAAGACTCATCGCTGTACGATGCGGCGGGCGTTGGTTTTAGATCCTCCTGATCTGCTATGAGTTGGTCCAGCCGTTGACTTGGGCTGCTAGATTGACATAAAGCCTGAATATTCGAGCTAGAGATCTTTCGCAGTTTGACAATAATGGAGATGCATGAAGGATCTATGTATATTCTCTGTCATGGTGCTGCACGCATAGCGGACTAATGTTGCTGACTGCTGCTGTTATGGACCAGGCGCAGGACGTAGACGTCATTCAAATACTGACCACGCCCGAGTCTGTCCCAACAAAGCATATAAGGTTGTCTAACTGCGTTGCCCAAGCAGAACTCCATGGCTTATGCATTACCAGTGGCCATACCTAGCCCTCCTGCTTCTACCCTCCGGTCGTCCTGGTCCCTCCGGAGCATCTCATTCGCCTACTAAGGCCCAACGAGTCAAAGCTGTCGGACCCGGTCCTGATCGCGACGATGGCATCCTTTCTACCCGCGCGCCCCGACGTGGCGCCGCACAGGCGTGGACGGCGTCGAGGGCCGCCCTCTAGGCTTGTCGTACCGCGATGGCGCACTGTGGTCCGAAGTGCCAGTATTCGGGCCGTTCCCGACTGCCCTCCCGACCCTCCCGCTTTTCCGCTCGTCTTTGGGGATAAAAGGCCGTCAGAATGCTCGACCTTTCCTCAAGCTCTCTGCCATTGTCGAACAATCAGCGCCTTCAAGCTAGTCTTCAAAGCCCCAAGATCCGGTATCTTCTACAAGATCCATAGTCTCTCAAGATGCAGTTCAAACTCGCTACCGTTATCGCTGCTCTCCCTTTCCTCGTCTCTGCTTCGCCGTTGGATACTGCCACGCTTGATAACACCCCACGGTCTCTCCCATCTGGCATGAAGGTACCTATGCACCGCCGTGCGGACCACTTCACCGGTGAAGATGGCACCGTCAATACGGCGGTATTGCAAGACCAAATCAAAAACAGTCTTCTGTGAGTATCATAACTACTCTCATTGCATACGATTGAGACAAGCCCCTCTCTGTAGGAAAATGCAACGAGGATTCGAGGCGTACCAACGCAACACGGGGAAACGGCATCCTCTGGATATGTCCAATCTTCTCCACGCTCGAAAGATCGGCGTGGATGCTCTCACTGACTACTCGAACGTGCTGTGGTACGGCGCGATTCAGGTCGGGACCCCGCCACAGAACTACACAGGTACGCGCACACTAGTGTACTGTCCATAAACCTCAGCTCACGGGCTCCTAGTCGACTTCGATACAGGCTCATCCGACCTCTTCCTTCCCGGCCCCAATTGTAAGACCAACTGTGCAGGGCACAAGGCCTACAATCCGTCGCAAAGTTCCACCTCAAAAGACGTCCACCAGACGTTCCAGCTGGCTTACGGGGACGGATCCACCGTCCAAGGAGAGCAATACAGCGATACCGTCCAACTCTCCGGACTAACCGCCACCAGCCAGCGACTCGGCGCCGCCAACCAATACTCGACGGGTTTCAATAAGAACCAGTTCCCGCCCGACGGGCTGCTCGGCATGGGCTTCCAGTCCATCTCGCAATACAATTCGCCGCCGCCATTCCAGAGCTTTGCGCAGCAGAAGCAAGTCGACCAGCCAGTCTTCACGTTCCGCCTCACCGCCAATGCGGGGTCCCAGCTGGAGGTAGGATCAAGCAGCATTGCGGGCAATGCTGTCACGTACACCAAAGTGACCGAACAGGCATGTCCAGCCCTTCTTCCGCTGTGGTAGAAGCTGACCGAAACATATAGGGCTACTGGCAAGTCAACATGGATAACGTTCTGGTAAACGGGAAGCGAGCTGTTGGACAGCTCTCGGTTATTATCGACTCTGGAACTACGCTGGTCATCGGAGACTCCAAATCCGTCAAGATGTTGTACGCGGCCGTGCCTGGGTCTAAGGATGCTAGCAGGACTGTTGGCCAAGGATACTACACAGGTCAGTCTGGCTGTCACGGAATGTGATAAATAGCGATATCTGACGGGCCCATCGCAGTCCCTTGCAGCGCGATCCCTACGATCAGCCTTACATTCTCTGGGAAGTCCTTCCCCATCTCCCCCAGCATATTCAATCTCGGACGGGTATCCCGCGGCTCGAACGACTGCGTCGGCGGGGTTGTATCTTCAGACATTGCTCAGAGTGAGTAGTGCTTTCACCCTCAAACCCCTCACCTTCTCATCCCACAATACCATTGCAGACTTCTGGATCGTCGGCGACATTTTCTTGAGGAACGTCTACGCTGTCTTCGACTACGGCAATGTGCAGGTCGGGTTCTCGCAGGCGAGCTAAATTTGCCCTGGTGCTTCTGTTGACGTAGATCGTCTATGTATATATACCTGCTGAACTCATAATATTCTACTGTAAACATCACTGCGGAAGATCAACTGAATGAAGAAAGTCGTCCACTGACATCACGAGACTTTGCCACACTCCGTTCTCCTGTGGACGATGCCGTGTATAGGTTTGCAAGGGAACTATGACTCGCAGGGGAGGTCATACAGTCGTCATGAGTGTCTGCACCCGAGCTTCACCATGGGAGCAGCATCAGCAGAACCCGCGATATTCATAGCACGGAGGGGAAGGAACCTGGTAGAAAGCCCTTGGCACGATCTCTCCGCTACGCTGGTTTCGAAGGCTGGACGTCGCGTTCTCCGTACCTATGTATAACCGGGCGGAGGGTGGTGCGGCCCGGAGATGCTGTGAGACGACAAGATTGCGCGGGAAGGTGAAGACGTGGTTGGAAGAGGGGAGAAATGCCGGCTCGCCTTTCTGAAGGGGATATCATCTCGAAACGGCTCCTTCATCCCGGGACGATCTTGACATTCTGGATCATCGTGCCAGGGCGGTCCCGGATGTGAGGAGAGCGGGACGAGGACACGACGATAAATCAAGATACAGAAACCATACAAATCTAGTAGGGCTAGACAGCGTCTGCTTCGACGGACATTGAGAGAAGCGGGACGACGTCCAAGCACATGGGCGACACCCCGCCTGTCTCGATACCGCTCGCGTGGTGTACGGAGAAGAAAACAAATGAGGGCACTGCCAACCGCCAAGGAAGCGAGGCGTGGCCTACACCGGACGGTCTCGCAGGTTATCATCGTAGATACGAAAAGGACAACAGCGCCCCGCAAAGCACCCCCGCTTCGACGGACGTCGAGAGCGGGCGAGCGCATTGTCGACCACTGTCCCTATCTCAACGCCGCAGTTCGGGTCGGCATGCTGCAAAATGAAAGAAGACGGACTTGAGAGACGTGGATGATTTCCAAGCCGTCAGGGTGCAAGAGACCCCGCCGTTCGGGCAGCGGCATATACGACGGGAATATCGTGAACCGTGAAAAGGATGCCACCGCGTCGAGGAGCGCTGAGAAGGGGAGCGCCTCGCAGACCCCGGGAGCGGTCCCCGCCTTCTCCGCATCGCGGCATGCAAGAGACGACAGCGAACACCTTTGAAAGACCAGATACCCCCACTTCGACATGTACAGACGTCGAGAAAAGGCGAAAGGACCGGGAACTACCGTTATCCCTTTCGCCTTGTCTCGACGCCGCTCAGGCGATGGTATCCCGTTTTGACATTCTGGGAAGAAAAGCAGAGTGGACGAACGTCGAGAGAAGGGTCGGAAATTCCAACCTCATCCGCGTTGTCTCGACGCGGGGCACAAGTAGGATGTCGCAGGCACGGAGTACCAGCGCTAGTGAGCGCCGCAGTGGGCAGATCCAATACTCACAGCCTGCTCGCACCCTGACGAGACAGGAACGCGGCAGGAAGTCGCCGCAGCCACGGCGAGGGACGCCGACAAGTGCCGGAAGCAGCCAATACCCGCGGTACGTGTCGACGTCGCTCGCTCGCGTGGTGGTACCCCGAGACGGCGCGATGTTGGGAAGAGAGAGAGATCGAACACAAAGTGTGGAGGCTGAGATACCAGAAGCAAGAGATGGAGATACTCATCTGCGCGAAGTGGCGTATTGCTAGGACGGCGTGAGGGCCTGCAATTTGGGATGGGAGGGCCCCGTTGGCTTCGAATAGAATATGGGCCCTTAGTAGGCGGAGGGAGGTAGGGGAGTGAACCGCAGACGACCGTGGTACTCGAGAGGACCGCCGGGCATTTATACCTTTCGCGACCGGATTCCCCGAAGTAAGCATCCGCTTCCAGTTTCAAGGATTATAGAAGGACAAGACTCTATAATACAGCAGGGAGGACAACACCAATGAGAACAGTAAAACACGGGTACCTCGGGGGCTACGACTGGAAGCGGCGCATCGTCTGGATCTCGGCGAGGAGCGCGTTGAGCCGGTCGTCGTCGATCTTGACGAGGCTGGTTTCGTGTCAGCACACAGCAAGAAGACAGAGGCAGAGGATGGGAGAGAGGTACCTGGGGATGATGCTTTTGGCCTCTTCGGCGTCTGCGGGGCAGAGGTTCGCGATCTGCGCGGTTTCGAACTGGGTGAGGAGGGGTTCTCGACGGAGCGTTCTGCGCGTGCAAGTCCATTATAAGCATGGAAATAAGATGAAGGGAAATGCGTACTCTCGGACGGCGCTCGCAGCTTCGGTCGTGTTGAATTTCGCAAAGGTCTTGACGTATTCGAGGGTTTTGTTGTAGACACTGGCGCAGAGGTCAGGGTAGGGTGGGGTGGTGTAGGAGGGACAAACATACGCGGTATCTGGCGCGTCCTTGTCGCGATTCTCGAGGAGGTACTTGACTTCGGAGATGAGAAGACAACCCGCGTTGTTGAATGCTGGTTTCGCGGATGAGGAAGGGAAGACGGGAGAGAAAGAGAAGAACGTACCTGGCCCTAGCTTCAGAACGGACGCGTCCTCGTCTTCCGCCTGAGGTCGATGTCTGAGTCGGGTCGTCATGATGTTAGACGGTTAGCAGTGTGGCGCGAGCACAGAACCGAGAGGTGATCGGGAGAGTTGCTCAAAATTCCCAGGGTTGTGGCATAAGGACCCCGGAGCCCTGGCAGGTAGCCTGATATAGAAGGCAAGTAACCAAAGAGAGATATGTCGGGATCGCTCCTCTGACACGACTTCTTCCGCTGTTACCCATTGCTTGTGAAGGGATTGCAACTCTCCTTCCATCCTTCTAGTTCCTTTTTCTATATCCTCCGTGCTGCTTTCCCTCCTGACTTGCGGCGAGGTCATGCAAGTGCCTTTGCATTTTCGCCGATCGGTCACCATACCAGTGCCGAGCGCATCTGGGTAGATGTGGACCCAGGGAACTGGACCCACGCATCCCAAGTCGAGTGTGGACTCGTGCAGCCTCCGCCCTGGCGGAACTGAACTGCAGGCTGGAGAGAGATGTGCCGTCGAGCCAATGAGGAGCTGAGTGATCCGCGCCGGCTTCCCTTCTCTTCCCCAGCCAATCACCCCGCACCGCGCCTTCTGGCCCAGGCTCCCCCGCGCGCATTTCCCCAGGGATTCGCCGCGCGGGACCGGGCCGGAGCAGCCAGTGCTCTCGATCTTTCTCTGGACAGTGGCTGAGACGCGTCGCGGACTGGCTGAATACTCGCCATGCCTCTGCTGTCAGGCCCAGGGCCGCACCCGCTTTATAAATCCCCCAGCCCGCCCCCCTTTCCCCGACTTTCCGCGTTCCCCCCCACTCTGCTAGCACCCTCGCATTCCGCTCGCACACAATGACAACGATGCCTACGACACCCAGCAACCCGCTTTTCCTCGGGCTCGACCTGTCCACGCAGGGTCTCAAGGCTGTCCTCGTCGACGAGGAAGGCTCTGTTGTTTCAGAGCATGCCGTCAACTTTGACAAGGACCTCCCGCACTTTGGCACCGTCAGCGGCGCTGTCAGGGGCCCTGACGAGGGCGAGGTGCGTTCCCCACCCTCTGCGGATGAATCAACCTAACGTCGCACATATATCCAGGTCACCTCGCCCGTCCGCATGTGGCTCGAAGCCATCGACCTGGTCATGGACCGCATGAAAGCCGACGGCGTCGACTTCTCCTCCATCGTCGCCATCTCCGGCGACGGCCAGCAGCACGGCTCCGTCTACTGGTCCCCCTCCGCGCCCGCACTCCTCTCGTCCCTCGACGCAGCGCAGCCGCTCGCCCCCCAGCTGTGTCCCCAGTTCGACGCGGCTGCTCCTTCGCCGTTACCCAAAGAACTGAACCGCGTATCTGCATTCAGCCTGCTCCGCTCGCCCATATGGCAGGACTCGTCGAATACGAACGAGTGCCGCGCGCTCGAGGCTGCTGTCGGCGGCAAGCAGGCGCTCGCGGACCTCACTGGCAGCCGGGCGTACGAGCGCTTCACTGGCCCGCAGATTATGCGGGTATGTACATACTTTGTATTCTATTTTACGGATAAATGCTGATGTACTGCACGCAGATACGCAGAGTATACCCTGAAGCCTATGCCAATACCATTCGCATCTCGCTCGTCTCCTCTTTCATCCCCTCCCTCTTCCTGCAGGACTTTGCGCCCATCGAAGTCTCCGACGCATCAGGTGCCTATTTTTGTTCCTCCAGGCTAACCCACCGCTGACGGTTCCTGCAAAGGCATGAACCTGACAAACATCCTCACCAACAAATGGGACGACAACCTCCTCGCCATCGTCGCCTCCCACCCGCACCCACCCTCTTCCGCAGCAGCCGAAGACCTGCGGTCAAAACTCGGCCCCGACCCCGTTACCGGCGCCTCACCTCTGGGCACCATTGGCGCATGGTGGGTCCGGCGGTACGGCTTCTCCCCCGGTGAGTCTCCCCTCTCCTCCACACTCCTCCCCCACTGACCGTCCCTCCCCCGTCCCCGTCCCAGACACCCTCATCGCGCCCTTCATGGGCGACAACCCCGCGACCCTCCTCACCCTCTCCCAGCCCTCCGACGGCATCCTCTCCCTCGGCACCTCCACCACCTTCCTCCTCTCCATCCCGCCCTCCCCCTCCCCGCCCGCGCGCTTCACCACCAGCCACATCCTCGCGCACCCCGCGCTCCCCGGCGGGCACATCGCGATGCTCTGCTACAAGAACGGCGCGCTCGAGCGCGACCGCATCGCGCGCGGCGACTGGGCGCGCTTCGGCGCGATGGTCGCGGAGGAGCGGGAGCGGCGCGAGCGGCGGAGGGAGGACACGGAGGACTGGCTCGGCTTCTACTTTGGGCTGCGCGAGATCATCCCCCCCGGGGTGCAGGGCGCGTTCTTCTTCCGCCTCCCGATCCTGTCCTACCCCTCCCCGCCGTCGCCGCCGAACCCGATCACGTACGGCGCGCCGCAGCGCGTGCGCGCGGCCGCCTTCCCGGACGCTCTGCACCCGCTCGCGATCCTGCGCACGCAGCTCCTCTCGATCCTCGCGCGCATCCCGCAGATCCTGCCCGCCGCCGCGCCGCCGCTGCGCAGGCTCGTGCTCACCGGCGGCGGCTCCGCCAGCCCGGTCATCAGGCAAATGGCGGCGGACGTGTTCGGGATGGAGGTCTACGTGCCCGACGGGAGCCGCGAGGCGGCCGCCGTGGGCGGCGCGTGGCTCGCCAAGTGGGCGTGGTGGCGCAAACAGCAGGGGGTGGGCGAGGGGCTGGGCGGGCGAGGGACGTTTGAGGAGATGACGGCGAGCTTGAGGGAGAATGTGAAGAGGGTGGCGGTGCCGGTGGGGGATGAGCGGGTGAGGGGGTTCTATGAGGGCATGGTGGGCGTGTATCGGACGTGTGAGGAGATGGTGGTGCGGGAGTGTGAGGAGCGGGAGGGGGGGCCGTTAGCTTGATGAGGGTCAAGGTTATACGTTAATGAGTCTTCAGTGTGGTTATCTTACGGACGGCTTCACGGTAATGATAGAAAGCATAGTTGGTTCCTCTCGTTTCTCCGATTATATAGACTGCACATACACAAATGTACAACATCCAAGCAATAAATACCATGTCTTTCCATCACTACGGGGTCAGCACGCATACTCCCATGGCATACGCTCCGGAGGTACAAGACTGGTCCGCACACCCAGCGAACCGACACTCCACTTCCACGGCCGCTCCCACGCTTGCCCCATCTTGACCTTCCCCCTTGCGAACTGCACATGCATCCGATGCAGCCGCCAGCGGTTGCGCACATGCAGGTCCTCCCGGCGCAGGAATGCCAGCAGGTACTTGCGCCAGTCCCGCCCGGGCTGCCCGCAGAGCCTGCGCGCGTCGGACGGGTGCGCGAGCGCGCCGTTTGGCCAGAGGTCCCAATCACCCGGACTCGCGGGGAGCATCCACCCGGACTCCCAGGCGATGCGCAGGAAGAGGTCTTGCCGCCGGGCGAGGATCGAGGAGTGGAAGTAGCGGCTTACTTGGATGAGCGAGAAGAGCGTTGCTGTGGCCTCTACCAGGCAAGGCAGGACCACGTACGCGGGGTCGGCCATGAGTAAGGAGGCATATTCCTCCTCCGCGTGGTGGTGAACCAGCTTGTCGAGGATGATGTCGAGCAGTTCGGGGGTTGTGAGAACCCTGAGACAGGCCGTGGAAACTGCTGGGACATGTGATATGAAGCGCTGGGGGACCACTACGGGAGGAGCAATCGGGAGGACGGTTGGTCTGGCCAGTAGCCACATGCAATCTAGGAGCTCTGTACAGGGCACAGTGCCGAGTGTTATACGCTCGAAAGCGTCCGCAGAGAATTTTCTGGCACTGCCGGCCATATCGTAATACTCGATACACCGTATTAGCCCGGTGGCATCTTTACAATAGACGCGGTTGCGGGGGGCAAACAAGGAAGACCAGAGCTGACGAGGGCTAAGGCGGAGGCGATGGCATACAAGGCTCAGGCATCCGCGGTGCACGAAGAGCCATTCACTGGCGCCAGCATGCCGCCGCGAGTGGTCGACACCGTCAACTGTGATCATATTTCCGTGGTACTTGCTTTCGTGCGAGATTAGGCGTGGATTGATGAACGATTCAGAGTTGAGGTATATGCGCCTACCATTTGCCTGAGACATGGTTCGGAAAGCCTGGGTTCACGGAGACCCAATCTGCCCAAAACTTCCCGTCAGCCTCAGATATCTCCGTACTCAGTTCTGTCGAGTTTGAAAGCACGGGCACAGGAGTATATGCAGTATCTGCATCGTCAGACCAGCAGTTTTCGAGGAAGCGGAACCTCTCAGACACGGGATCGAATAGAGGACCAGCACTTTCGGTTACAACGTCTTCATGTCTAGAAATTGGAGCCACAGCGAAGCCTACGCACCATAAGCCACACATCAAGTCCCGAGGGGTCTGCCACGGCGAGGATACCTGGGCGCCATAGGGGAGGTAGGGGATCCAGGACATCTGTTTTGCACCCAAGTTTGCAATGGGTCGCAACCCGTAGGGGGAACAGCAAGAGCAGATAGGCGCAAGATAGGCGTTGTGCTAGCCATAGACTCCACAGTATCCATATAAGACTTCTTTGATGAGAGGCGCAGCATCAGACCTGCTGCGTGTATCCCAGGGAGTAGAAATGGCAGTGCAGAGGGAGGGAACGCTCAGCACTGCTTCCAGCGCCGTCTCGGACATATTCCAGGATCCAGAACTTGTAAGCACGCTGGATAGCCCAACGCATGTATATATCTGCCCAGGCTAAATGTCATTTCTTGAGAGTTCCCTGGGATGATTGGTGGGGGAGGACTGGTGTGAGATGGGAGCATGCCAGGAGATCAAAGCCTATCAATTCTCATACGATTTGGTGCATGAGAACATGGACCCGGAACAGAATCAGTCAAATATGCCGGACACTGACTGCAGACGATGCATTGTTTTGTCGAAGTGCAAGAAACCTCCGTTAGATTGCTGCACGCCTGCAGAGCGGACAAAGAGCGGAGGTAGCAAAGACAGCTCGGGAGGCAGACCGATAGGTCCGGCTCCGGAGACGCGAAACAGCCAAAGTCTGCCATAACCGGATGCCGGGTGGTCTCGAAGGTTCCGGGGGCCGAGAGCGAAGGACAGTGCCATTTATACACATTGCATGCCTCGATTAGCGTGGTCCCATTTCCCTCCCCGCCGCTGCTGGACTGTCGGACGGCCACCATGAAAATCAGCAAGAAAATCGAGCAGGCGCAGAAGGAGAACAAAATTTGGTGGTCGTTTGAGTACTTCCCTCCTCGGACGGCTCAGGTGCGTCTCCCTTTAGTGCTGATGCGCGGTTAAACCTATGTACCTCCAGTCTCTTATCATGCATTCCGAAGGGCCTCCAAAACCTACTGGATCGCATAGAGCGCATGCGCGCGTTAGGCCCTGAATTCGTAGACATTACATGGTGAGTGGCTGAAGTCAGTGCATCGGGGAAGAGAGTGCCAGTGGCTGATCTACCCTCAAAGGAATGCCGGTGGCCGGACCTCCGATCTCACTTCTGAGCTGGTTAAGACATGTCAAAAGATTATTGGTATAGAGACCTGCATGCATCTGACATGCACGAACATGCCCAAGGAGAAGGTGGACATCGCGTTGCGGGTAAGTGCATAGCGTAGTATGATATAACTACACGTACTGACTGCCGATGCAGGAAGCCAAACAGCACGGATGCCGAAATATCCTAGCACTCCGTGGCGACCCCCCAGTAGGCCAGGACGAATGGGAAGCTGTGGAAGGTGGCTTCCGCCACGGGATTGACCTCGTGCGACATATCCGCAAGGAATACGGCGACTACTTCGGCATAGCTGTCGCCGGATTCCCTCAGCACGTCCGCCTTCCCCCAGACGAATTCGAGTTCGAGCTCAAATGCTTGAAGAACAAGATCGACGAAGGCGTAGACTTCATCATGACCCAGATGTTCTACGACGTCGACATCTTCATCGACTGGGTAAAAGCCGTACGAGCTTATGGGATCACGATCCCTATTGTACCTGGTGTCAATCCTATTCAAACGTGGAACGGCTTCATGAAGTCGACTGCGCTGGCTAGGACAACTATTCCGCAGTGGTTGCTGGACTTGCTCGAGCCTCACAAGAACAACGACGAAAAGGTCAGGGAAATCGGCGTCAAGGTCGTCGCAGATATGTGCCGGAAAATTCTGCAGGCGGATATCGGGATTAGAGGGTTCCACTTCTACACCATGAATCTAGAGAAAGCGACGAGAATGCTGCTGGAGGAGCTGCAACTTGTTCCTCGGGTTGAAACCATTAAGCCATTACCCTGGCGGCAGGTGAGTCTTGTCATTATGTGTCATTGAATTCTCCGGCTGACTTGCCCTCCCAAGTCTCTCACACCAACCCGGAGAAACGAGACGATCCGGCCTATATTCTGGGCAAACCGCACCAAGTCCTATCTATCCCGCACAGAGAACTGGGATGAATATCCCAACGGTCGGTTTGGCGATTCACGGAGTCCAGCTTATGGCGAACTTGACGGCTATGGCATATCACTGAACAAAACTGTATGTCTATTTGATCGATTCTTCAACCCAGGACTCATTGTACATGCAGAAAGAGGAAGCCGCGAAATTATGGGACCACCCGACCAAATTCGAGGATGTGGCAGCCCTATTCAGGGACTTCTGTCGAGGCAAACTAGCCGCTCTGCCGTGGTCCGACTCGCCCCCTTCCCCCGAGACTACCGTGATCGCGGACAAGCTGGCGAAGTTGAATGAGCTGGGCTTCTTGACGATCAACTCTCAGCCCGCTGTGAACGGCGCTCGGAGCGACGACAGGCGATTCGGGTGGGGCCCCAGTAACGGCTATGTCTATCAGAAGGTTAGTAGTACTCCCACCAGGGTTTGGTGGGCTGCATGAAATCTAACCGGTCATGCAGGCTTACCTCGAGTTCTTCGTCTCCCCTGAACTTCTCGCTATGCTTCTTCCCTACATAGAGCGAGACCCCAATATCACCTATCACGTAATCAATAAGACTGGCGACCTGAGAACGAACACCCACTCCGAAGGTCCAAATGCTGTCACGTGGGGTGTCTTCCCGGGCAAGGAGATCGTACAGCCCACCATCGTCGAGGCAATCAGCTTCATGGCCTGGAAAGTAAGTGTCAATTTTCGATGGGAGGAACCAAGACCAGTATTGATCCTTAATGTCTGCTAGGATGAAGCATATGAGTTAGGACACCAGTGGGCTAGACTCTACGAACCTGATTCGCCGACACGCAAGCTAATATCCGAGATTATGGACACCCACTACCTCATGAACGTTGTCCACAATGACTTCAAGTCCGAGGACGCCATATTCGAACCCTTCTTCAAAGCAGGCGAGCAGTACGCTGCGAGCAAAGCCAATGGTACGGTTAATGGACGCTAATATCTTGTAGCATAGATAGATTACTGCTTCTTCTCTTGCTTTGCGCACGCTATCGGGTTCAACCCCCGCTGTCTTATTAGTATTTCCTCTTTACGCTTCATTTATCATCAACTCGTCGCACTGTCTTGCATCAACTGCATCTTACCCATCTGTACTTCATATCACATACCACACCTCATTGCATCAACTGCATATATAGTCGTATCACAGTCGAATCGATCATAATAACACATCGCTTGGGCCCAAGATGAAACGTAGTCCAATAGATAATCAACAATATCCTAAGTTATCCGTCATACAGGTCAGAGAAGAAAAAGTCCGTATTTGTGGGCGGTGGACCTGCCACCAGTCCGCTGGGTATATCCACTTTCTCACCGGTTAAATCTTAAGGAAGCATCAATCCACGAATCAAAGCAGCTTGTGAGGAAGACATACCCAGTAGTTTGATCTTTAGCCCAATATCAGTCAAAGCTTTGACAAATCCTGCAGTCTCTTGGGACGCGACGTGGCCGCCATCTCGTCGAAGCATGTTCAGGCCATCAGTCCAATCCGCCCACCTTGACTGATCGGGCGCGATCTGGTCCGCGAGGGAACTGCCGTCTGCCGTCAAGAGCGAGAAAGATAATGGCGAGGGTGAGACAGGTGAAGTTGGAGGGAGATCATTCTGGTCACGGAGAACGTTTGGAGGGGCGGCGCAAGTACCGGTGGCGATCTCGGTGATGTTGGAGATGTCAATCCGGTCAGGGAGGTCTTCAAGGCCATTTCGGACCGGAAACTTCACTGTGCTATCCACATAGTGGAGATATTTTTGGCCGTTGTCCTAAAGACAGAGTCATAAATATGATTGTAGGTGGCGTATAGAGTACCATACCAGTCTCATGAATCGCCAAGGGCGTGTAGGCCTCCGTGCCGCATCCCGAGAGACTGGTGAGTTGAGCGGGATGGCGTTCACGAACCATGAACCTTGTAGGAGACACTGAATCCGCTGTTGACGCACGAACTCATATGACTCCTTGTAGAGTTTCGCGCTCAGATTCCTAAGCATGACGTGAGATCATACTCAATAATGACTATATGCGATAAGCCTAACCGCATGGGAGCCTTGCTCATCAGATCATCCTCCATCTCGAGTTCTTTCATCTGTCGGTCTCTCACGGCACGGTACTCGGAATCCAGGAAATCATGTTCGACTTCATGCCACGGACGCACGTTCTCTAGTCGTAAAGCCACTTTGACTCTGTGACATGAGCATGAGATCCACACCACGGCGCAGGCTCGATAAACTTACTGGCTCCGTGTTAGAGCGACCACGCGAGGGAAATCGTCAGCGGCGGCTCCACTCTCGGACCACATCCGTAGGAAGAAGGTCAACGCTAGAGCATGAACCTTGTGGAAGTTAAGGAAGAAAGGTTGGAAGGTAGTCGACGTCGAGTCTGAGGAGGGGCATGGGTATCGAGAACGAGTCGGCGCTTAAGAGTAGACTCACATCCAGGTGCGAAGATCGCCCAATGTTCTGATAAAAGCTCGACTATCTCATTGGAAGCCCTGGCAATCGGACATCGGCGTTCTTCAGGCCGACTGATCTGCTCCAGGACCATCTGCATGATCATATCAGCATTGCCATTCTTTGAATAGTAAGAAGCAATCACCTTGGAGAACGTTTCCGGATCACTTTTCACAAATTGTTTCTGGCACAGGTCACTAAGACAGTAGACTACATCACGAAAGTCCCACTCACCAGACAATCCAGCCCCAACACACCCGCATCTCGGAATTCATGCGTAATGTCTTCGCTCCCAAAGCCCAGTAACCGCCATTTGAGCGGCTGGCCTTCCTCGTCGATACCTTCTTGTAATTTACTGGCGTTCCAGATGTATTTCAGGGCTGAAGCATGCGAGTGCTCCATTTCCGGCTCCACCAGAGTGGTTTTCTTTCGATATGTGACCCTGATCATGTTAGCTTGGAAGTCGAGAATGCAAGACGTGAGGTCCTCAATAGTATGAGAAGACATGAGACGCTTGATACAGGTGTAAGCAGAGAGCATGGTCGGAGAACCACAGAGACGTACGATGACCGCCTTCCGCACGTTAAGCTTCTCGAGCTCATTCACAAACTCCTCCCATCTCGCGTCAGTGGCATGAGCCAATAGCGAGTTGATTAACATCATGCTATGCGGACTCAGTCTATGGTCCAAAAGGTCCAATGAGGAATTAGCCTTACCTATACAAGACCATAGACGTATCGGCATTCCCGACCCTATTGACGACGGTCTCCAAGAGTCCCTTCTCCTTACGCATCTGTTCAAAGACCACGTCGAAACCATAGCGGTAGACGCTGCCAGGCGGCAGCGACGGTGGACTCCGGCTCGAGCTTGCCATGAGTGGTCCGGGCGCACTGTGTGGGTCCGCTTCTACGAGCTTCTTCAAGATCGCTGTTGCTGGACGACAGACGTTGATGAGAGACTGAGGTGAGGACAGGATCTGCACCACTCTGAAGATGAATGTGTGTTCGAGGTTGGACCAGCCGTAGTCGAGATCCATGAGGTTTTGCATCGCGAGCAATGCATACTAGCGAGAACATATATCCTTCATTCCGTGTGCAGGAAGGGCGTGATAGGACTTACAGCAAGGGTGTTGCCGTGGCTAACGGAGATCACGTCGATTAACTCTGACAGTCCATCGCGCTGGAGGAATTCATTCGCAAATTGTTCTTCCTACATATAGTGATACAGGCGTTAGAACGGCTATCTCTACAGAAAGCGAATGGCCGCACTCTGATGAACTTCTGGAGCGAAAACAATGTTTTTCGCAGCGTTCTCTCATCTCTCAAGCTCAACTTTTCGACTATCTCCGCGGCTTCCAAAGTTGGCGAGTTGACCAACCTGGGAGGGAATAAATAGCATGTGAGGTTAACACCATATTGCCATGGGATATTCGTGCGCCAGCGTGCTATGCACCGGAATTAGATACGCACTTCAAGGGTACTTTGGCTTTGATCTTCTTCCGTAGGTTATCGTTCGTCACCAACTCGTCCGTCTCATCTCGCAGAGCAAACATAGCGGGAGGATCCCTGATTTGTAGGTTAATGCATAATTGTCTAATAACATCGTCGACTGTCAAGGTTGGCTCGATGCGAGCTCGTACTGTGACTCCATCCTTCGTCGTTACGCTGTTTGTCGGGACAAGAAGGGATTTCGGGCGGGGTGCACCATTGGTACCGGTATGACTGGTGGCGTTTGGACGTGCGTCGTATCCGTTGGGCACGGAATGGTTCGTTCCGGAGGCGTAAGAGGTCATGTAAAGTTAGTTGCGATGGTTGGATATGTTAATTGGAGTGATTCGATATTGCAGCTGTCAGCAGATGTCAGCGCACGGCGGCGTCGATACGAGGTCAGAAAGGAAGACATAGATCAGAAAGTGCGAAGCAACATCTCGTGTACGTACAAAGCGTACTCAGACTGACGTGCAAATATGTGACACAATTCATCACAAAAGCTACAGCTGGAAGAAGATATCCCAATGCTACGTACCTGGCTTGTACTTCGCTGGTCAGGGTTCCCAAAGCACGTCCTTCCGAGTCGACGTCCCGAGCTAATCGCGCGATACCCAGGTTCAGAAAGGATAGGTGGGGGTATATGAGAGAGGCCACAAGTCTTAGAGCAGAGGTGGCGACGAGGGATGGAAGGTATACACAGCGAAACAGTCGGATAGCGGTACAACAAGGGAGTCCGTGGAAATTGATCGGAAATGAAACGCGATCCCTATTATACAGCCACCGACGACCACGCCTTCGCCCCATGGACCACGACTGTATACATGTATTACTTGGACTGTGCACTATAATAGGTCCCTCTTGTAGGTCAGAGAACCACGCTTGCGGCTTCCTATTGGGAACAGACCGCATCTTAGACGCTCAACGTACTGTATTATATATCGCCAATTCAGCTTGGATTTTCAGTTCAATTCATGTCTACTGGAACTATGGACGAGGGTAGAGAGTCCGTGTATATTGTTGCAGTGGACGATGATATGAAGACGCATGAAGATCACGAGACACTGGAAGAGTCCATCGCACCTACCCGCCATGAAGAGTACTATCTTGACGATGGAAACGTTATACTGCTTGTGAGGTCTCCCGCTATAGAATTATCCATGCCACTGGCTGTTGACATGTGCGTCAGGCAGGAGATGTACTCTTCAAATTACATCGCTCTCTGCTCAAAAAACACTCGCCCGTTTTTCGTGGCATGTGGATGATGCCAACAAGTGTAGACCATACGGTGCCCCTCGAAGGGGCCTCCGATGACAATCCAATCGATATCCATACTGCTGCAAGAGATTTTGAGAGATTCCTCTGGATCCTCTATCCACCGTGAGTGCATCAGATTATCAGAACTTTGCTGGACTGAAAACCATCGCGCAGTGAACTCGGCTCATATAGGGCGACCACTGTTGCAGAGTGGTCCTCGATTATCGAACAAGGTGCGAAGTGGCAAGTGGCAAGTCTCAAGGCCCAAGCTGGCCGTAAACTAGCCCAACTCCCTATGGATTCCGTCGAAAAAGTCCATATCTGGAAGAAATACGGCCTCACTGAAGGTCGGGAGCAGCTACTGGATGCGTACATTGACCTCGCTATGCGGGAGCGCAGCTTTAACTGTGCCGAAGCTATAGCCGTCGGGGTCGTCAATTTGACGCGGATATCGGAGGCTCGTGACGAATTGCATCGGAAAACATTATGCCGTTGCTGCTACCAGGGGAAATGGGACGCGGCCAATCCTAAGCTGAAAATGAAACTCGAAGGCATTGTGAGAGACGTCGTCAAGAAGGTATTCCAAGTTTCAGAGCCCACTCTCGAGTGATGCAGATACTTCCATATATCAGTTCAATGGGTGGTGAGTGGTATTGCGAGCTATGTCGCATGTCCTTGCATTTCTGTATACGTCTTCTTGGTAGCCCGGCACGTCATTGCATGGTGTTATACAGTAGTCCCCGCTCATAGTTTTTTGTATCGCGTTGGATATACTTGTAGGGCAGCCGTGTACCAGCTTTCAGCGCAGTGCAGAAATAGCTTAGAATACATAACATCACACATGAGACATGGTTACGGCGATCCATCGAGCTATATATACTGCAGCCCCCCAATTCTTACAAGTCTATGTGGGCATGCCCGTTCAGGAGCTCTCGCCCGGAGGGCCTTGGCCTCTACCAGGCCCAATTCTCCTCCCTCTTCCGGGGAATCCAACGCGAAATGGTAGCATCCCCCGACCCAAGAAAGGTACTTGAGCCGGGACGGGCTGCGTCTGAGCCGGCCTCGGTCCTTCACCCGCCGCCGGTTCCGCTACCTCCTCCTCTTCCTCATCGCCAGGCTAGAGAATACATCTTAAATCTGGCCCTCGGACAGTCGTAAGTTAAGGAAGGAGACCCACCTCCAAGTCGATGACCAAGGCGCCAGTGTGCCACCCTGCGGCAGCAGCCGCAAAGCAGAACCTCTCCCTCCTCTTCTTCAGCCCATGATCAAACCTCACCTCGGTAGGCACCTCCACCCTCGGCGGCGTCCCGAAGCTATGGTGGCGCGCCCTATCCCTTTGCTGCTGCGTCGCGAACCCGCCGGGCTGGCCCACCTCGATGTCCACGGGGTTCCCCAGGCCCAAAGCACCTTTCGAGAACGCGCCCCACGTGTACAGCTTGCCCGTGGACGTGAGCGCGCCGTAGTGGTAGTCGCCGAGGACGACCGAGATGACGCCCTTGTTCTGCAACGCGGGGATCATGTCCGGGGCATCGTCCGGGGTCGTGCGCGTCGAGCCCATGAGGACGACGGAGCTTGCGCCGGTCGAGTAGGCCGTGAAAGTCTGGAAATGCGCGGATATCTAGAGCACAGAGGTTGAGTGGGGTGCCATACGCGTGACACGGCGGGTATACACGAACGTGTGTGATCTGCATGGTCTCGGGAGGCTCAAGTGGGGCAGGCCAAGCAGCCCCTAGAGAGAACGCCGGGGGAGAGAACGTGGGGTGCTCCCGTACGTATTGTACCTCACTAAACCGCGGCAACTAGACACGGCCGTCAGTGATTGCCACGGCAAGTGAACGGCCGGCTGGCACTCACGTATTCCCATCTTCCTTGGGATAGCTGAGCGGGCCCACCGAGCCCGCCGAAATGCAAGACATGCCCCTTGTTGGTCAGCCCGATAATCATGTTATCCCCAGCAGCGATTTTCACGAGTTTCGTCTCTTTCTTCGGAGCTTCGTCGCTATCTCCTGTCTGGAGTAGCTCGGGAAGGTTCCGAGGGATCGGCGGGAGTCTGAACGGGTCGAGCTGCATGTCCCAGGGTACACACGCAATTGAACCCTCGGGTGTCTCTTCAGCACGCTTGTCACCGGCTTGGTTCATTTCTTCATCCCGTTCGCCGAATATCCGGTGCATGTCATCCAGGAACGGCCACCAGATGATAACATCTCCAGACTGAGTAAGTACGGAGGTGAACGCCCAGCCACACTCAATTTGAGCGGGGGTGCTCTCTGGAATGGATTTATCCAGCAGAGGAGATACCAAGCGGAAGGGCCGACCCCAGCTTCGGAAATTCCATACATCGGAGTTCGCATCCAAAGCAGCCGAATGCAGTCGCCCACAGCTGTCTTCACGTTAGCACGAACGAGTTTCGGTATGCTACGGGAAAGGCTAGCTGACCTAATGCTCCGGATTGCAGTTGGCAGTTGTAATCGCAGTGGCTTAGATGCGCTTTTCTCCGGCACCGAGAAGCCATCGCTTCTTAGGGACATGAATTCCCCGTTCAGGGCACCTGAGAGCAGCCACGATTAGCCATATAATCATGTGGTGAAAGCGACACTCATAACCCCAAACATGGATGCGTCCTTCGGAGTCGAGGGCATGGAACGACCTAAATAATACATGAATAATGAGATCCCGAGTCGATTTTGGAGATCCAGTAAATCTCATATACGCACATCCCTCCTGCGGTCAGACTGACTATGCGAACACCTGGAATACGTAGCTCCGCAGGGGCCGGCACACCTCCCCCGAACGAATATCTGGGAGATTTGGTCAATCCAAGCCGCCCGTTTGAGGTCTCGCTATGAGTCCCAATCAATACATTACGTTAGGTATACATCACCCTGCCCGATCAAAAGGAAACTCGCCCCCAGACGAAAACTCTCGGGTTGCTTAGGCCCTTGTAAATGAACTTCCAGCCGCTCGTCCTGGCTGTCCCCTCGCCAGAAAAGTTGAAGTCTTCTTGAAGTTTACGCTTCCAAAAGGTGTCATCGTTACACAGCGTCGCGAAGAAACGGTTTGTGCAGGCTAGACGGCACAAATCAGGCGCCGGCACATACGGTAGGAGATTGTCGAGCAGAGTTTCAACTGGGATATCGGTGAGAATAGGCATGTTGGCGGGACTAGGGGAGGAATATCAATTTGGGGCGTTGGATGATAGTTCGCTGCAACCGGTATATCTGCTCGCCTCCACTCTATATATGATATCTGGCTGAGCAGCCCAATCTGCGCCGCAGCCGTGCCACAGCATCGACGTCATGCAGACTCCCCGGAGTCACGGACCGCGTCGAAAGGCTTGTAATCCTAACAACACCAAGCAACCGCTTTTCAACTCGTCCACCAATCATTGCGCTCGGCAGACATGCCATGTTCTTCCGCCGATGCACCTCGCACAACACCCATAGACCTTCGTTGAGCCTGTGCAAGCCTTACTCGTCGTCATCACCCTCCATTGCCACACAGGAACGGCTTCGCGCTCTTCTACGTGAGACTGCGCAGCCCGTCGCGGTCGTGACATCGCGTCTGCAGTCCTCTTCGTCCAATGCTACCTCGGCCGCGTACCATGGAGCAACCCTATCCTCGTTTTCATCCATTGCAATGGACCCGCATCCACTCATTGCATTTTCTTTGCGTCTGCCGTCTAGAATGGCAACAGCACTGAAGTCCGTGGACCCATCCGCTCCTTCGCATATGGTCGTAAACATCCTCTCCGCCGCGCAAATGCATACCGCGATATCCTTCTCCCGCGTCGACCTGCACCCGGAGCCCTTCAAACACGAGCCATACACGCTCACTAAGGAGGGATTGCCTATGCTGGAAGGCTCTCTCGGCGCCTTGTCGTGCAAGATGGTTTCCTCGTGGCCGTTGCACGACTTGGAACTGATAGAGCAAAGCCTTGGGGCCAAGTTGGAAGCAGGAAGCGAGTGGTCAGGAGATGGGGTAGCCTCAGAGCTGTTCGTTGCTCGCGTTGTCCGTGTGGAGAAGACCGTAGACACAGAAGACCAGTCATGGCGGACGTTGCCTCTACTATATCACAGAAGGACATATGCGACTACCTCTGAGATGCCTCTTGCCGACGCTCAGCGCAAACCACAAAATTCTTAGATCATGATGGCCATGCTGATCTTGTCTATTTGTACAATAATGCTAATGAATGAACCTGCTAGAGGACACTCGATATATGCCCAAGCCCGCACATTCATCGCCTTACTTACCCACAAGGCAGCTGCCTTCAGTGTAAGTGTGTGAAGAGAAAAGCCAGAATATGGTCGACGATTGTTTGGGTAATGTCTATCTATACAACAAATGCTAATAAATAACACGCCGGAAACGACATCTTACAACTTCATGAATGAGAACAGGGACCCTAGATCAACCCAGCGTCGCGCACAATTATCCATATACTTCTCAACGGTATCCGACATCGTCTGGAACAGCTCGACATTCTTCGTGATCACGCCCGTGATCTCATCTGAAATATTCAAGTCAGGGCTGGGTTTTTCTCGCGCCTGTGGATGACTTACCCTTCCCTTTGGCATTCGCCAATGCCTTCTGCGTATCGAATAAGAACGCGTAAAATCTCAGCTGATTGTATAGCTCTGAATCAGAGTACTAAAATTGGCCAGGTCAGCCATCCTATCCACTCCGTCCGGACGTAGTAGGCTCACCTCAAAAGCGACTGTGCCACGACACCCCTGTCGCAGACACCGCCGACCGTACACACTCATCATACGAGTCCGATTTCGGCAGGTAGGATCGTCGCAAATAGTCCACCCTTCGTAATACCGGCTAATATGCTCGCGGATCTGCGCCTCCAGCTGCATCTGCATGCTGACGGCAGTGATACTGGATTGACAAGACAAGCAGTGCGCGCCGGATGGTTGCATTATGGACGACTGCACACCGTCGTTTGTTAACACCAAGAGCTCGTCATGAAGAGAGGATGACCTACGTCTCGATCGCAGATGTTCACAAAGGGCATCTCGCCCTGGCAGCCGCGACACCGGATAATCAATGGATCGCAATCCCTGAACCGCTCCGCGTCCGATATTTGGGAGTCCAGGGAAGAGAAGAGCCTTTCCATCCCCTCTCCCGACCCGCTGCTGCGGTACCTGCTGGGGTCGAGGCCTAAACACATGTGAATGAGCTTCCATCTCGACCAGCAGGGAAACGGACTAACCAAGGCATTCAGCAAGGCGCGCACGATCCGTGCCTTCGATGGGCTCGCATAGACGCTCGATAGGTGGGAGTACTTGTTGCGACAGATAGAACTCATAGTCTATCAAGGAAAGTCAGCCTTGGATAGTTGGCGCATTTGGGAAGCCTGACCAATTTTGCATTCGCTTCCAGCCCTGCGCACTTCGTCCGGATGCCGGGCTCTGTCAGCTTGCCCTGTCTTGGCAGTTTCTCCGTCCGCGCCTAGACAGAAAATATAGGGAATGACGTCGCCCGAACGAGCGTTACCACCCTTCGACTTCTGTCTCAGGGCTACCTGGACGTGCGGCTGATTCTTGGCGTCAGGGTAGTCCTCTGGGTTCTTGCCCAGTCGCTACACAGCGAATTAGCTCGCATGTCGTTAGGTTTACGGGGCCACTGACCTTGAAGATTATGAACTCGTCCAACTTGATCTTACCCTCCCGGACATCGTTCCCAATGTTGCTAAGGTATTCGTGAATTCGCTCGACAACGATCTCGGTTTCCTCGCCAGAGAGTATTTGATCCAGCACATACCTGATGTGTTTGGTCAGTGAACTAAGGCCATATCGAGACGCTTGAAAGACTCTTACTGAGAGACGTTTTTAGACAAAGCACAAAACTCTCGACGCTTCATGTCAAGACCCTTGATTTCTGTGGACGTCCTTGAACCGTCTTCCACTTTGATAGCGGCATATTTCTTCTTTTGGAGAAGGAGTAGACGCTGGAATATGCCATCCAAGTCAATTTCCAGCAGCTTGTACCGATCATTGACCGCTTTCTTGAATTCAGCCGAGATCCGGAGAGCCTCCGACAGTTCCGTAACGTTTGTGTTGACGAACACTGAATCGGTATCGCCGTACACGACGTCAAGCTGGAGGCTCTCGGCAAGCTCTCGAGTATTGGTCAAGATCTCACGACCCTTAAATGTCGTGAGAGCAGCGAGAGGCCGCGCGTAGAACCTCGAGTGCTCGAAACCGAGACAGCCGTACATACTGTTGGCGGTAAGCTTGAGAGCCATTTGCTTGATGTCGTACTGCCGTACACTCAGAGGTCGTACCATGCTCTAGATCATTATAACCTTACCTGAAGGAGTTTCGCAGGCGACAAGGAGCGGTCTTTCATAAGGGATTTCACTTGGCGTCGACGTTGGACGAGAGTTGCGATTAGTCTCGGCAACACACCCTGGCCAACTTCAGAGGATGGCGGCTCTGGGATTTTCTCTTCGCCATCCTGCGCATGTAGTCAGTAATAGAGGATGTGACTGGGTGGCACAAAATACGATACCTCTTCTTCTTCCGGCCTGTCGACAGTGGTGAAGTCAATGTTGTACTCTTGGATGATACTTGGGTACAAGGAATTGAAGTCCATGACCAGGATGAATTTATCCCAGAGTCCTCGTTTTGGCTCGAACACAAGACCACCTTTGTACTTGTCCCTCTTTCCTTTGGTTGCGGCTTTGGATGAGCCCTCGCCTTCTTCGTCGTTAGCCTCAGCTTTGACGGCAGCGACGGCGCGTTTGCCCCAGAACTTGTCAGGACAAATGTATTTGAGTCGATGGAACTCATGCAGAAGAATGTACTCGTTGCGCTCGGCCCTTCCACCGTTCAGGGTCTTATTCCTATAGGCATTCCACGCTTAAGACTCGCTCTTATCGAGGGAACGGGTACGTACCAGGAGTTACCAGCAAGGTTCGTCAACTGCTTGGTCAACGGCAATATCTGAACCTTGGAGGCGATCGCCATATGGTAATGAGCATCGAGCTCGCAGTGCCTTACGAAAGTCATCAATCTATCGGGAGTGCTGACGGAGCCATCAAAGTAGCTGGCGGTATCGTCAGGATCGATGTCTTGACGGTCACTCTTCAAGTGCGTCTTGCACATCTCGGTGAGTGACCAAGTAGTGGACGTGATCATGCTCTGCAAGAACGTCACTGGCCTGTCACATACGTAACCATACCCTTACGAACCTTGGCACCATCGCTAGCCAGGTCGCACAGTAACCGGCCATTGAGGAAACGAAGGTTCGTCCCCTGCTTACCGATTCCAGGCCACTTCGATCGGCGGAATCTGCTGATTCGGGACCAATGCTCGACCTTCAGTTCCCTCATGCGGTGCAAGAGTACATCAAGTGAGACGCCGAGAAAGTCATGGCCGACAAGAACGTCAGGATCCGCCTTGTGGATGTTAACTAGTCAACGCTGAAATTAAGACACAGATCAGTCGTATTGCAATATATATGCGTACTGAGGAGGCTATTCAGCAACATTCGCTCGTTCTTCATCGTCGCTATGGAACCCTTGCTATTCTTCTTGGCGGTAGCTTCGAAGTTAGGCGGGAATAGATCCAGTGGGCGGACAAAAGTGTGAGACGTGCAAGGAAGCTTCTCAGGAGGTGTTGGGTCGTCTATTTGAGCTGTACACGGAATACAGACCGTCAATTATCACAGACAGCAGATAAGAGCACATGAGCCTACTGTTAGACCACGTCCGAGCGGTGGCGCAGACGATTTCTCGTTTATTCTCTTGGTAATTAACGATAGTCCTCAGACTCAGACTCATGACTGTCAGAGGGGGGATATCCTTTGGTGCGTCACCATCAGACTCTAAGAACGGGTTGAGGTCCTTGGGGTCGTCAACGGAAACTTCTACTTTACACCATGAAACCTGCTCGCAATTAAGGTATGCACACATGAACATGACCGGATGGCACTTACACCCTTGTGTTCGATATGCGGCTTCTTGATATTTAACCAACAAGGACCCATAATCTTCCGCTTCAACACAAATAGCTCGAATGCGCTCGTATTAGTTCCAAAGATTCTGGAGAAATTAGGGCTCGCGACGTTATTAGGCACTTGGGGCTCTACGCGCTCTCTCTCAGCGAAATATGATATGCTTAGCAAGCGAAACTGACCTTCGAAAGGATAGACGACCTTGAGCCAGCGCGCTTCACCGCGAGGGACGTCAGGCTCTCCGAACGCATAGTTACGCTTGACGAACTTAGCCTTGAAAGACTTGATGCCAGCTTTCTTCCGCACTCGATCAAAGTCTTGGTAGACATCATTGAGGTCCGGAACGACATCTGTCTCGATGGTAAATTTGCCATCCTCTTCCTCTTCCATGCGTCTCTCTCTAGGGAGGATGAACAGATTGCGCTGGAGGTTGGCCACAGTAACACAGCATGATACGTATGAAGCAGCGGCGCCAGGGCTACTGCGACAAAGGACCTTCCCAGTGAAGTATAGTCGACCCTCATGTTCAAGATAGTCGAGCCAAAAGAACCTTAGAGAGCCATCAGCCTCCAAGATAGAAGAAGCAGTTACTCCCGGAGAAGAGTTGCTCGTGGCGGTGCTTGGTGCTAATGATCCCAAGGAATCATCTGTCGTGACGGCGAGCGAGTCGTACACGGATAACCATGAAGGCGTCTCGTCCTGCTTCAGCTTCTTCGCAGGAACGCTATTTGTGGGCTTCAGAGGCTTCAGGTCGACTTCGACGTCGGTCTTCTTCAAGGTAACCTTGCCATTCTCCTTCTCGTGCTCATCGACGTCAATATCCATGAAGGCATTCATGTCGATGTCGTCGAAAGAGGCATCGAAGTCGTAGTCGACGTCGTCTCTCATCTTGTGGGTCTCTTGAAGGCCCATGTTCCCAAGCCGGTCGTTAGGTTGAGTAACTCCTGGACCAGATGTCCTCATCTTCTTGACCGGGCTCATGACCTCAAAGTCACTCGATGAGGGCCCCGCCTCGAACAGACCATCGCTGGACGTGTCAGGAGGACCGCTCATGTAATCACCGTACCGAGCTGGAGAAGAGCTTCCGCCCCAAGCAGGAGAGGGGGAGGGTTTCCGCTTTCGAGAAGAGCGATGTGCAGTCTTGTTGGGTTTGCTGATGGTGACAGGTTCGATGGCATCCATGTCGCCGAGCAGCGTTGACATGAAGTCTGACTCCTGCTCTGCTGAGACAGCAGGACGGTAGGCACTAATACTCGGAGCTGCCACAGGAGGGGGTGCTTTAGGTTTCGCGCGATTCTTCCTGTCTTCATCTTTCGCTTGCTTGCCTGTCTTCTCTGGGTATCCCGTCAGCAACTGGTAGTTAAGCACAATAGGACGAACTTACTCTTCTTCTTCCTATCGGTCTCTGACTCATACTCTTCTTCCCCGTCCTCCCCCTCGTCCCAGTCATCCATACCATTATCCATATATCCCTCAACGCCATCGTCGACAACGAAGTCATCCTTTGCTAAACGACCGCGCACAATTCGTTTGTACTGATCGTCAGTAACTTCATCGTAGATGTTGACATCCTCTTCCTCCTGTTTCGTGTCAGTATCATGTACGTGCGATCTGCGATACGGCCCACCTTCCATGAACGACCACCGCCTTCCCTCGCCCTTTTGTACGCAGCAAGTTTGTCAAGCTTGCTTGCTCTCTCGCGTCGAGCACGGTCCGCCATTACAGTAGATCAAGGAGCTTCAGGGGAAGGAGGAGCAGATGGAGAGGTCGCCGATGTCAGACGTGTCCAAGCGCGAAGTCGGAAGGACGCGTCGAGACGCGCTCCCCAATATACCGCGTTTATTATGTAATGCTTTCCCACACAGGTTCCGTGTACTGACGCGAAGTCTGTTCACTCGAGCTCAGCACTCTCAACCTATCACGGCTGGAATATGTCTATTACACTCCAGAAAATGCTGCTGGAAAAGAGCTGGACACAATTGGCCGCGTCTCTGCCATCTTCAACACTTGCCACCAGCGCTGGCAGACGATCATTAGTAACCGCCTCGAGTTTGCCAAGGACTTCAAGCTGTGCCCTGAAGGGGCATGCCTCGGAAGACATTGTCAGCTCGAAGACATATTCAAAGCTGTCACGTCGCTTTTACTCTGATTCACCGCCGTCTTCTGGAATTCCTTCCTCCTCCCAACCCCAGCAGCTTGGTCAGCTGGAACCCCGTCTGTCCCTCACGTTCACATGCACAGTTCCAAATTGCTCTCACCGCTCGACCCATACGTTTACGAAACGCGCATACGAGAAGGGCATCGTGATTGCCACTTGCCCTGGGTGCAAGAGCCGGTGAGCATGCGCTTGAAGTTGACCGGTGCCTGGTATTGACACCAAGAAATATGGTTAGGCACCTCATTGCAGACCATCTGTCCTGGTTTAAAGATGAGCGGACACAGGATGGCAAATTGCGGACCATCGAAGACATCATGAAGGCGAAAGGCGAGACTGTCCGCAGAGGTCAGATAAAGCTGGACGACCTGCAAAACGGCGCGATTGAATGGGCACCAGATGAAGGAGCTGAAAAATGACAGCTTTCGGTCGGAAAGACGAAACGATGATTCTATCATGACTGCTATACCGTGTTCGCTGTTCCTCTGCAGAATAGATCACAACTTGACCGAATTGCAAAGACGTGTGATACGCGTCATGCTTACAGTTCATGATACATCACACGTTCATAACCACCGTTTGCTACTTCAAAGCTTACCAGGCATCCTCCCAGCAGCACTCAACCTTACTGTCTCGCCGTTGACATATGGGCACTCAATGATCCACTGCACGGTTTGCGCGAACTCCTCTGGTTTCCCGAATCTACTTGGGAATGGTAGGTCCCTCGTTAGGCTCTTCCTCGTCTTTTCCGGGAAATTCTTGGTCATGCTCGATTCGAAGGCTCCTGGCGCAATGGATACTACGCGGATGCCGTAGCGACCAAGGTCCCGCGCAAGTGGGAGCGTCATGGACCGGATTGCGCCTTTCGTTGCCGCGTATGCTGTCTGACCAGGTTGGCCTTCGAACTGCGAGCGTGAACAAGTCAGCCTTGCAGTGAGATCTGTGCGAAGGGGGCACGTACAGCAGCGGAACTGGAGACCATGATGATGACGCCTCTCTCGCCGTCTGGGCCTTCAGGCGGTAGCTTCACCATGTGGGGCAGGGCGAGCCTAATGAGATTGAAGGTTCCCGTAATGTTGATTGACAGGATGAAGTTCCATAAGTCCAAGGAGTGGGGGTTGCCATGCGAGTCGATTATCTACAGGTGGCAGTCTTGAGTGTGCTGAAGTATACGACATTCACAAGTGACGCGTCAATCGTGCGACGACATACGAACGGGCAACTCTAGTTAGACTGACAAGGTGCTTACCTTCGCAGCACCGCCGACACCGGCAGAACAAATGACACCACCCAAATGCGCGCCCGTCTCCTCACACCATCTCACTGCCCCGTCAACACCAGCTTGGATATCTTCCGCACTTGTCACATCCGTTTTCCAGAACTTCACCCTTCGACGCGCATCCGAGTCCAAGCCATGGAACAAGTCGTCCGGGGGATCCGATAGGTCCATAATCGCGACATGGCTGGACGGCGAAGACGACAGGAGGGTATGTGCCGTCGATAATCCTAGACCTGAGGATCCACCGGAAATGATAAATGTGCGATTTGCGGTCTTCATACAGTGTGAGGCGCTCAAAACCGACCACTCGGCAATAGGCGAGCCGCGGATCCTATCACGATCGTGAGAAAAGACTTTTAGGTCCCGAAAACCAAACCAATCGATTCCTTTTCACGAGAGCTTTCGAGCCATCTGATTATTTTCTCGAAATTCCCACTTTTAAGAATTTAATCCTTCACATATTTGAATTTGGGTCGGAGATCTAGCGGAGTTACCATATAGGGAAGCTTTGTAATCACGGCCAGGGGAGCCGAGCCACGTGCCTGGCTAGGGTTAGGGTGAAGGCACTACTTGCTTTGGACGTGTGGGACACTCCCTATCGCAGGAATTCCATCGGAGAACCCCATTTCCGTATTATACAACCATATTGAGTGATCAGGACGCAGCTGGCTCCCAGATAAATGAGGTTACGCTCGGCAACCCCATATTTGAACGCTTACGTAAGCATCCAAAAAAATGAAAATGCAGGATTACGCATCTTTTGGCCAGGTTTATGTTTCAAATTTTTTTCTCGCCGCCTACGGCGCCATAATTAAGGTGCCACAGAGGTGCCGACTCTTAGTGACATACACTGTAGCTGCGCCGAAGCCAATGTGCTCTGTAAGCAGTAGCCAATATTGACTCGGAGTATTAGAGAACAACAATCACGGGGTACATGCGACCCCGGATAACAGTAATGGAATGATTCCGAAGTGCGGGGGACCTGAGGTTAGGGTGGTTATAAAGTTACAAGTTCGACTCCGTTGCTAGTACTTGCTACTCATCCGCTACATACATGTATGTTCTTCGGTTCATTTGGATCTATTGAGACTGGACTCCACTGAACGGACATATGTTCAGTGCTCTTATTTCTTGCAGAAGATGTGCTAAGAATCAAATCTCGAGCCTCTAAACGCACTACAGCCCTCGGGGCCACTGCGCGCTCACCAAAGAGAGAAAACCGGGATGCTGCATTAACAGGCCTACCGTGATCCCCCGATTCCCGATTCCGCTCGAGTGCTGTTATCACGCTGCATATAATGAAAGCACAGATCAGAACAAACGCAAGATTCCGTCAGGCGTTCCGCAAGCGGAAAATATGAAACGGCTCAATGATATAGGTCCCTTCAGGCCTTAGATTCACAAGCGCTCATCAAGGAGTAACGCCCCTCACTCTCCATGCGGGGATTCCACATTCACGCTCTCTTTGCATGAATGGAGATTTCAACCATCGAAAGGATATGGGGTGTTCTAGGGTGTTAACCTCTCTGGATAGGCTATTCTGACCTCGCAGCGTGGGTGTACGCTAACACGCGACGTCAGACAGAATCATTCATCAAGAGAGCGCTCGAACACCAGAGGCTCGTACGGTTTCGGGACAGTCCTTTGCCTTATCGCCACAGAAAAATCAAACTTACGGCCACATCTGGTCCTGAGGTTTCCTTTGGACGCGTTCATCACCAGATTTCCTGAATGAAAGCGGAGCGCGCGGAGCTATTGAATGTCGCCCGCAACGTCCAATGGCTCCTTTTTGAATACAATGCATCGCCACAGGCCACTGCCAACTTCGCGTGTTCAGCATCAAAACGCCACCGCGACCTTGTTCCCAATCCGCCCCACAATACTGATATCAAACACAGCAATTCCTCCGACCACTTACTCTACAAGCAGGACACTATGAAGCCAGTCTCTCTGCCCGAGTCAAAACAAATGGTATATCACGTAGGAGCGGCTTGTCGGACCATCTGACGGCTTAGACGAGCGGCCGAAAACTATGAGCGAATCCTCCGTACGACACATCGCTGAACAGTAGTTCGAGAGGTCTTTCAGGACCGCCTCATTCTCTGGGTTAGCCTTCGGATAGGAATTCGCGGGGCGAATATCCAAATCATCGTCTATCTTGCTGTCTATTGGCTGGGAGCATCTGGCTGCACCAATGTTGGCTTTGTCCCCCGACTAAACCCTCGTGGGAACAGATATGTGCTCCTGCGTTGGTTACCACATTTCCTGTCTTAGGCCGTATCTGCCTCTGCCCTCTTTCACACCGCTTGATCCGGAATCTCCTGATGGCGTCGTTCCCAAATTTACTTCAACGATTTTCAAAGCTTGCCGCACGTGCAGGGACGCGCGCGTCGGAAATTGGTTTCCTTTGTTCTGACGCGTATAAATTCCCAAGTTTCTACGAGTTCCTCACGACTCATTTTCCTCCCTCTCCGAAACCTCTCCAGCCTCGCCCACTCAGACGCCTTCAAAATGCCAAAAAGAAGCAATACCTCGGACGATGACCTGAACCGCGCGGACGAGCATTCTAAGGTCCTTAGAAGCTCTGGTCAGGAAGAACAAGGCCACCCCCCGCCAAGCAAGTGCCGACACTATTGTGGGGGATGTGGAAGAGAGTAAATATCACGTCGCGTCGAAGTTCTTTTCCATACATCTGACTTTCTTCTACAGCTACGCGCGGTTGTATGTAGCTAGAAAGCATATCCATAATGGCCTCGTAATAGGGGACCAATGCCCTTGGCATCTCGATTATCAAAGGGGTATCGAACACAGACCTATCCCAGAAGCTGAGTGGCTAAGATCGTGAGGGTTGCTCTGGCCGTTCGCTATTATGTTGTCTGACTGGACATTCCTAGACTGGAGAACGGCGATCGTCCAGCTCCAGATTTGGCGCGATCAGATAGACCAGCCGCTGCCAGGCCGGCCACTCCTCCCGTCCCCCTTCACATGCTCGAGGACCTACCATTACGGGGCTTTCCACCGATAGACAACGGACTGGCTTCAGGCTCTTATAGAGGCAGCAGTGCTTCGGCAGCAGCACCTGAATCGCTGAGTCTACTTTTCTCCCAACACCCTGCTACGCTCGTTGCAGTGGGTAGCTTCCATGCCACGGGCCACGGGCGCCTGCCACTCGTCCAGCCTGAGCCCCCCGCCCAAGGCTTGTCAGTCAACATCTTGGACGCCATTTCCATTGGGGGCGATTCGACTTTATTGGTGGCCGACGAACAACATGAGGAGCCATCCTCTTCTGTGGTTGCAGCTGGCAGCGAGGATGTCCCGCCGGCCGAGGACATTGACTTGTCGTTATACTGTTCGCTGTTTGACTGAAGAAAATATCTGGTGAAGGGTGTCAGGGTGCTTGGACTTGGGTTAAAGCGTGGAAGAGATCTGTCGTGCCACTGCTGTGTCAAACGTGGGCTGGGCGACGTGTCACTTGTGTCTCTGTCACTGATCCGTCGTCGCGATACAAGTTAGCCCGGCAGTTCTTGTTGAAGGCCCTCCACCTCGTTCGGCTCCTTCATGCTAGCGAATCTGTGCCTCGTCCCATCTGTGTCTCTTCATCGATCCTTTCGCTATTTGTTTATGCTTGAGGAGTTGGCGTTACCATACGTACAGGATCATACTTTCATGACATTGCCCTTTCCGTAGTACTGCTAGCATATCTAGTCCTCTGTACTCTACATATAATGCTATAGAAGGCCCTCTCGACTAATTCGCAGGCTTTCCGTGCACGCCCGTTATTTGAACTTTCAGCAGGTAGACCTCATTGGGGGGGATGTTCCTGCTGAAAGACAACTATACAAGTCATCGCTAAAACACAGGGTAACTTATCCTTCGCTGAGGTCTCAGGTTGGTCTGCAGGTCAGAGATACGGACTACAGGTCACGCTCCGGACAAGTGCGTGAACTTCGAGTTGCACAGTCCGCGGCACTGAAGGATGTCATGATCATCGAATAAGGGTAGTAGCTTCACCGCCTGAGCGAACAAAATACTCATCGTTGCTGAGCATCGGTACGGCTAGCAACATTCAGCAGCTTTAGAAAAACATACCTCCTTATGCGTTCCGCTGCAGACTCTTGGAAGAGAAAGGCGGAGATTCGAATTCCGCACCGGAATCGATGACGTCATAAGTCGCAATCTCTGTCTCACTGGTAAGCTTACAAGAGTCAAGACACAAGAGAGGTGCGAGTATCCAGCAAGTCCCACCGCCGCATGAGCGTTACAACCTCTGAGCACGTTCATATCTCTGAGATACCCCCGGAAGCGACAATACTCACCTGCAGTGGTAGTGTTCAAGTTGAGCCTCTCTCTCCGTTATCCGGTTTTCCCAGTGAACCTGTAATGGATACGATTTCCGCCCGGATCGACGTAGCTCCAGTCGCCATTCTTCTGCATCTAGTCTTTCAATGCTGCTAGGACGCCTTTCCCGCATCTCGTGCAGGGCGCCGGTGGTACGGTCGTCTGGTTCAATTGAATGATTAGACGCAGTATTAATGGTGATTACAAACACCGTAAGTATCGACAGAACATGGCTGAAGCAATTGGCACTTCCCTGTTGTGTTGAGTCGGAACGAAGTTCCTCGCCTAATCACCAGACTGAAGGACGATGCCGACAGGGTTTCGTCGAAGAGTGCAAAGTACGTGTTTATTTGGTGCTTCTCCCTTTTTCCGGACTTACGATTGTCAAGGTCCTCGAGTAGCATGAGCAGGAAGAGTAGCCAGAAGCTCTGAGGACCCTTTGAAAGAGCTACGTATGCCCCGCTCACTTGTTTTATACGACGTCAGACGGAGGCGGGACTGTTGCTTTAACATCACCTTTGGTTGAATACTCGGCGAGCGTTCGTACGTCAATCAACAATCCAGGGCAGTATTCGAACCTCTTTGATTGAACAGCGTGACCTCTACGCGCCAGTTTGCTGAGCTGGCATGAGGAGAAGGCCGAGCTCACGACGCCGCTTGCATGGTAACACAGGGTGGGCGCGACGCTTCCTCTCCCCCAGAAGACGTAGCACTAATGAGAAGCAGAAAGGGCGGAAAGCAGCTCGATGGGACGAACATCACATTCGATGAGCTCGAGTATCCGAAAATGCTGGCTGACGATCGCGTCAAGCAGTGTTGTAGGCTGCTCAGATTATTCTCTCGTGCCACTCCGCGGTGTTACCCAAGCGCTTTGGCGGCCACAACTTCCAAGCAGGCTAGCCAGAACCAACTCACTGGACAAAGTCGTCGCCTCTTGGTTACCTCCTTGCGGCGGAGATCTACGGACAATTAACCTATTTCTTATCATACACGCACCCACGCGGAATTTATAGTCTTGCTGGCATAGGTTCGACGACCCTGAGTGGCCACTTCCGAATAATACAGGAAAGATGGCCCATCAGCTCGATCGTTCCGCTGCTTCTGACAAACCAATTCAAGGACGCAAGCCACACCCTCGATATGCCCTTGTGCTGAATTCGGTTGTCAATGCAATTTCCACAAACTGCCATCGATGTCTCTCATTACCAGGTTCTTATTTCCTACGGCGCATCTCGGTTGGACTGGATGGAAGAGTTACTTGTGGGGCGACGAGGGAGGCCTGACTATAATGTGGCAAATTCACTCTACCGAGAACCGCAGACTTGTTCTTTCCCTCGGTGAGACGCGCTCTGATCCGAGTGCGCACAGGCGGCACGATTATAAGCCAAAAAGGAAAATGATGGCTCATCACCCATTGTGCAGTTGAATCTGGATTCGACTCGGTTCGTCGTTGCAAATTTGCTGGCGCTCCTCGCTGCATGCCCCATTATTGGACAATCCTCAAGCCGAGGCTTATCTGACGATGTTTATGCGCGTCCACCAGGCGAAGAATGCATATTGAAATATATGGTGGCTTCCCTTCTCCGACCCGCTCGTTTGGTCTCCTCCAGCTTCACGTGCAAGGGTCGCGATGCAGCATCCCTTCCCTTTGTTATGGCGCGTATAAATGTAGCTTAGGACTCCGCTTTGGTGGAATAATCCCCTTCTCCGTCTCTCCAGTACTCCTGGACTCCAATTTGAACCACTGCCACTGCCACTCCCGCTCTCCTACCTTACACAAAAGATGGCCATCAAGCGGCCAAGATCCCGTGACGACTCAAACCATCAACAGCCCTCCAAGAAACCAACCCCTCCCTCTAGGCGCGAGTATAGGTGCGCCAGGTGCTTCTGCGTGTATGTAGGCTGCTTGACACTTCTGGACTGACGAAGCTCACATAACTTTTAGTCTGAAGCGCGAAGACAGTATTCAGCGTCATTTCAGACGAAAGACACCATGCGAGGCTCCGGAAGGTCATGATACCATGACATACCAGGATAGAATCGAGTTCAGATACCCTCCTGACTCGCCGTCCGCCGAGTCATCGGCTGAGTCCCACTCCGAAGCCACCTTGCCGTCTTCGAATGGAGAACCTTCCGCGTTACCCCACTCCCATCTCACGTCAGCATGTTCTTCTGCGTCGGCAAGTTGTTCCACACCTGCAGACCCTTCCGCCGCTGGTCCCTCTACACCTTCATGTTCTTCCGTCCCTGCAAGAAGCTCCTCGTCCATTAATCAGGCGGCGGAAACAACGGGTGGTGTTGGAGGCAATGAGGGCCTCTCACCGTCCCCACTTGTGGGGCCTAATGTGGCATCGACTTTTGCTTTGGACGACGGAGACTTGCGGAATCCGTCCCCAGGCTCGGAAGAGGGCATCCAATGTCACGAAGTCGCTCCAGGAGAACCTTCAGCCACGTTTTCCCGAGATGAGTGTGTCGCTGCGCAGCCTCGCGAGCCGCACCTGGATGCTGCTTGTCCTGACCGTAGGGCGGCGTACATTTATCAACTCGCACCCGCCCTGCTTGATAGGGCACTGAGGCGCGACGTTCGCTACAGCGAAGAGGCCGTTGAAGAGCAGAACATACTGCTCTGGTATCTGGTTGGGTCCTGGCCGTACGGAGGGCCTCCACAAGAAATGACTTTCGATCCTCGCGTGCCCCCGCCTCATGTGCGAGAATGGTTGAATTTCTTTGATTTCGAGGCCTTTGAGAGAGATGGCAAGAGGAAGGAAGATCAAGACCGGGCTCCACATAGCGCATGAAAAGGTACGAAGGGTTTCGCTCGTTTGCCACATTCTCAGCTTAGCTCTCTGTTCAGGACCGCCGCCACTTCTCTATGCCGTGTGGCGTCTAGCTCGGCACAGCTTTCCTGGTCAATCATCAGGGGCCACCGCAGCATTCCCCCACCGTCATGTCCTGCAAATTGCTTTCCTTAAGTTCACGTAATTTTCTCATTCATACGTTCACAACTATTGTGGAAGTATCCAGATGTTGTGTTCTGGCTTGGTCTCTTCCCCATGGAGGATACGTCTTTATTTTCTTACTTGTGTCGCCATACGTAGAAGCTATAGTAGATGTCTCCTAGTTTGCTAGCTTCAGAATATACCCGCGACTATTTATCAATGCATTGTTGGAGCAGTCCATGGCCAGGTAACGAGCTGCAGAGCAAACTATTGGGCTGAGCGGCAATTGCCGGCGCAGGGGCTGACGCCACAATCACTGGCATTCCTTCTTGCGTGATTCGGATCCATTGGACCTGATACTCTCCAGCCTTCTGTGACGGCCTTGAGGCGCCATCACTATCGTTCCCCTATGTAACGCAATAACTGCAACTCATTGCTCTAACGATGTCGGCCCAGTCTCCCAACTTCCCATCTCTATACGACATTTCTCTTGAGCTGTCTCGCGTCGAGCACCGAGGTCCCAGGCAGCCGGGAGGAGTGTATCTCGACAATCTATCAGGTGTGTGTTCTGGGAATGCCCCCGTCAGATGGCTAAGCTATGGTACAGACGTCTACAGATTCACGTTCTATTGGATCCTGATCTTTTCGACGCCCTTCTTCTTCTTAGCTGGGACATACGCGTTCTTCAACCTCTCATTCCCCCCGTCACATCGACCGAAGGCAGCCGTAGAGAAGGTATATTCTGAATACCCACTGTCCCCCACACTCGCGCCCTTGGCTCCGCCGACGCTGTCCAGCACCCGGCCCAATCCTCGCCGCTCGCGCATCACGTTCGCCCTGCTCGTTCTTCTCACGTATGCAGTCTTCGCTGTAGCGAGCGCCGTAGTTGGGAGTGCCGTCCTAGGTTGTGTGGTATATGGGCTGTACAAGGCAGGAGGGTTCTCGATGTCGACGTGGGTGCCGTTCATATGGGCATTGATACAGTCGTTGGTGGGGTTGACTGGGTGAGTGTTTATGCTCCATGTTCCGGCCAGGGTGGTTAACGCTTAGTGTATCTGCCTATAGAATCTGGCCGTCAGTGATTGAGATTATATGAAGAGATCTGACCTTACACGTTGACGCGCCACGCAAGGCGTTGTCTGCTGTCCCAGCTTAGCCTGCTTCGTTGTCTGCTGTCCCAGCTTAGCCTGCTTCGTTGTCTTCATTTTGACATCTTGAACAGAGCTATTGTTGCTTATGTATAGATGCATCGCCAGAAGCAATGCCTTCTATCTTGCGATTTGTCCGCCCTGCCGAGACTTGACAGAAGGCGTACAGGAGGCTGGACAGAGCGTGTTACCGTACAACAGTAGCTTCACGAGCCCGTTGGGCTAGAACGATCGCGATGCACAGTAGATCAGCTATACGAGTGCGATGCACGTCCAGTCGAGTACCATGGGCGCATCCGACTGCGACTTGACTGCGACCATTGCACTCTGAACGAGCAGCATACAGAGAGAGGGTTGAACGTTGAACTCCAGGGTTATCAAGGTCATAGTGGGGCAAATGGAAGAGTCCGCGAACCATTTCCGTCGATACACACAAGTAGCTGTCCTCAGCCCCGTGAATCCACCACCCCCCACCTGAAATTGCTCAGGACGAGGTCGCCCGACTCCGATAAAGGTAAAACGTTCGCAGGTGAGAGAGAAGCTGGGCGGGAGCCTGGGGGGGGCGGAAGATATCTGCGAATCTGAGAGGAATATTTGAAAATCAAAAACGCGGTGCAGAGGAGGTGCTTCTGTAGCACAGGGCAAGGTTAGGGCGTTGCTGAGCGTACGCCCCTGCCTTCTGTCTCGTTAATGTGGTGTCTGCCGCTCTGACGTGGCCTCCTACGCCATTGCTTCTTCCTGAGGTCGGCAGGACGGTGAATGATACACAACTGTGCTGGAGTCATCAGTCAATGCTTCGTCCTTATATCAAAGCGCGTGGTCTCACCGTGCAGCGTCAATTTGCCACAATGACATCCGTCAGAGCCTCCACAGGGCACGGTAGGTGGCACCATTGTCTGCGCATAGGACACGAAGCCCGCCTATCGCTCCAGGTACCCTCGAGGCTGATTTTGAGTACTACCTCCAGCCTCAGGGAAGGCGGCTCTCGCGGCGGGACGTAAACGCGGGCATGAGGAGTGGCGTAACGAGCTTAATGTCGAGAGGGACGCACAACGGAGTGCTATGAAGAGGGAGCGGTCAAAAAGCATGACTCCGTAACGCTTATAGACGCGTACTTGCCGAGCTCACATCCGTCTTTGACGCTCAAATGTCGAAACCCAGCCTGCCTAGTCTCGCATCCCCAGGATCGGACTGTACTTGGATGCAAGATCTTGATTATTTAAGCGGAGCTCGCGACACAGAAGACATCATGTCTCCTATGAACTGTGGAAGACGAGCAGCCGTTTGTCGGTGCTAGACGTAGTGAGTGTCACTTCGGTGTCTCACCTAGAGCATTGACTGGGAGCATCGCTGAGGAACATCGCTGAGGAAACATTACTTTAGGCCCTTGGGATTCATGGCTTCATTAGAAGGCATGATTAAGCTCGACTGTCGACAACGATATATGCTCAGGACTCACGCAAAACTCTTACAAGTAAGAAGAATCAATCGCCTTTCAGTGCGCTCAAATTCCAGGAACTGAAGTCCCTCGTCCGGTGAACAGGAATGAGAAGGGGCGCGTAATCTTCACCTCTGTGGTCGCCTCTGGACGCGTGAAGAGCATCAGCCGCCATTCGGCAGGAATTGGGGTGCCTCTCGAGGTGGGATGCCACCTGTACGAGTGAGGTCTTCGACGATTGTCTGATGGACAGCCGACAACAGGAACGGCCAGCATGCTGGCTGCGAACGAGAAAAATGACACTCAAAGGTGCGTGTACCAGGGGAGGCTCGTTAGACGGTCAAGGACAGTATGCCACCCGACTTGACATAGCGCCGCGCAGCAAGAGTATGCGTCGTTATGTCGTGCTGGTCTCCGTCGCCAGAAGGAGTAACCCCACACCAACCTGAACTGAATAGATAGGCACGGATTCGGATCATTTCCAGCCATTGTTTCAGTATGGTCACCGCTTTGTCCCAACCACTTCCACTACTTATTCTGGTGAGCTGACATATCCTCAAGCGGCAATCTCTCAGGATGCATTTATTTCCATCGATAGGCGTGCCCAGCTGACCAACGCTTGGACATTGTCCTGGCTTGCTCTACGTAAAGCACTGCAAGGGCAAGGCTCCCTATTTTTAGGGGCGATGCCACACGAAAATGCTTCCGGAGGCGAAGAAGCACTGATGGAAAAGCGACCCCCATGCCTGCACGGACCCGGAAACCTCGGGCGGACCTATCCTCCCTTAGGCGACGTCAAGGGAGTGGGATGATCTCGACATCGAATCTCGCCTGCCTGCGACGCTTGGATCCTCCGCTGGTTTGTGTTCTTTCACAGCACCGCCTTTGTGCCTGGTCCTGCGTTCAAATCCAGGGAGGGTGGCCTCGGCGACGAAGCTCTATCGTTGCTCATCCTGAATCGGCTAGCAGCAGCAACTGAATTGAGCTTCGCGCTTGGGAAGCGTGCCTTCAAGGTAAGAAGAAAATATGACCAAATATCCCGCCGCTCTATAAATTCTGGGCATGCTGGCACCACGCCGAACTTCACTCGTCATCTGCGCGCCCGTCTTGCCTGAGTCCCCGTGCCGTCCTTTTCCCTGGTTGAAACCTCCATCCTTATTGTGTATCGCCTTGTGCAATTTTCAGCATTCATCCTTCATGGCCAGAGCGAAACGAACTCGTACGCAATCAAGTCGACCAGAAGGTTCTCGCAAGATAAGGAGCTCATGCAGCTCGACGGATGAACCATACACAGATGCATCTACGGGAACCGGGAAGAGGAGGATACCCGTATGGTGTCTTGGCTGTGGGCATGAGTACGTGTCAATCTCCTGTGGTGTCCACCTCTGTACTTACACGCATAACACCATAGATTGATGTATAGTTGGCCGTGGAAGCGACATATTAAGAAGTCTAATGGGACGATTGTCCAGTGCGCGCTGGCAGAAGAATACCAGCATACAGGCACTCTTGAGGGGCTTCCAGAGCCGCTCACAGTGAAACCATCGGAGGCCGAACTACAACAAGTCCGAGCGATATTTCCCCGCTGCGCGCATGCGCCGATAAAGTGTCCAATGCACACTAAGGAGAAAGAGGCGAGTCCCTCCGGTTATCCAGGCCCTCCCCGTTCTCCGGGCTCCCCGTCTGTTGTCACACCTCTTCGTCGGTCTCGGCCTCGGTCTCGCCCTCGTTGTCGTTGTCGTGTTCAGCGCGAGCAGGTGGATTCGACGCTCCTGGTGGCTGGAGGATCGTCACCAGTACGTTTCATTATTGTTATTTATTGGGATGCCTGGGCTGTCTAACAGGGCTTAATTTCATCTTGGCGCATTCAGGACAGCATAGTCTCCCGCCTCAGGCCTCGAAAGCGAAGGCCGAACTATAGCGAGGCTGGTTCAGATTCCGAATCAGAGTCAAACACTGACTCTGGCTCTGACTCGGAGGCGAGATCGGGCTTAGAAGAGGAAGAAGCGGCCAGAAATGGAGAAGGTACCCTGCAGGGTGCCTTGGACGATTCTGTTGTAGGGGAGGGTCAGGCTAACGATGTCATGCCTGTTGATGGACAGAGTTGGGAAAGTCCGGCGTCCTTTTACTTGATGGGGGACCATCAGCCATGGTTGGCCCCGGGTATCATACAACACCCCTTTCCACTGCTTCCCGGCACTTTCCCTAACTCGTCGCCCTCTTATTCGCCTTCGGCGTATCCGGAATATCCTTCGCCATCGCATCCTACTACATCCCAGGCGCTCCTCCAGTCACATTGGGTCCACAATCCAGTTTTCCCTGTCTACAACGGCTTCGGACAGACTGCGATCCCTATCCCTCCTGTGCCACCTACACCACGTACCCTACTAGGTCCATCAGCTCCTACTGCCGCTTCCTATCCCTCAGGTGTTTTTGCACCAGTGCCCTTGGAAGCACTGTTCGATATGGACCGTTACATGCTGTAGCAGAGCCTGATTATTCCGTCGTGGGTGAGCACAAGCGTTCGGGGCGGATATTCCGGAGATAACCCTTGTCTGTTGGGTACCTTTTGCTCTCCCGCGCCGCGCCTTCCCTTCATTGGTCCGGACGCCATTTGAATACGCATCCCCTGCGTCCTTCCATAGTCGATTCTCTAATATGACAGATATCTCTGCGCTCTCCTGGTTCTGTTCCCTTTGTCATTTTTTCCCCGTATCGTAAATTATGATTTATTCCTGAGTGTTCCCCTCTGAACGCGTCCAGTGCGTTCCACCGGCCCTAAAGATTTTGTTTCTGCAAGTCGCCTGCTGAGAGAGGGCGTATTATACCGTTCCGCATCGTCGCCGATTTACGCTCAGCTCATTAGGGACTCAAATTCAAACTCGGACAGGATACAGCGCTCGTGGTCGCTTGAGAGCCTGCGGGGCGGCCTGACGTTCAATGACGGAGGTATTTACGACAGCAGGGTTGAGAGGACTTGTCCAATTTACTCGATCAGGGTCTCTAGTATCCCTCCGCCAACTCGAACCAGGTTCAGCCAACCCTGAGTGGGCAAGCCAGCTCGCCTTCCATGATGGCCATCATCGCGTTTGAGGGTAAATCGATGATGCTGAGACGCCATTGTTTACGGCATGGTGGCCTACCCAACCCATATGACTTCTAGCCTTTCTCCATCTTCACTATGTCATATGAGGATATATACCTATTTTAGTGCGTTCTTGTATCAACGCGCTGCGCTGGTTTCTGTGGGACATTAGAGAGTATTTGCAGGAGGCGAAGTCAACTTTAGCTATCTGATCTGACACGAGATCTTAGGCGAAGTGAAAACAACAGTGGTGCGCGTCGGGGCCATTCGCGGAAAAGGCTGGGGATGCAGTGGAAACTTTGACACAGTATATTACCCTATATGTATGTAGGTATACACCCAATGCGAATGGGTAGGTGGTGCAGAATATCATATTTTTGGAGTTTATGGTGCATTCGCATTATCCGAAGTGGGCTGTCTGCTAAGCGGAAAAAGTGTCCACTTCGCCTCCTGCAAATACTCTCTATTCTGGTGGTTCGGGCTAGAAATCACCGGCCTGCATCGGGAATTTCCGATCCCGTCTGATTGGCCCACAAAGCTGGCGGCGTCTAGGTGATAAGTGCAGTATGTCAGTACTATCCTAATCCATGAGCATGTCACCTTCGTCGATGGAATCCTAGCTGTCTGTATCAAAACGTACGTTACGCAGGCTCTGAGGAAGTTGAAGGACGCGACAGAGCGCCCTGCAGTCGTCGACTTCGGAAGCTTTAGTCCCGATGTGCTGAGTGATGCATATCTACGTCGGTTGGCGAACGTGAGCAGCATCGCAGTGAACTGTATATCCGCTCAAATTGGCCTTCTGCTCATGCGAATATCTCAACCCACCAGAGAGGTACCAAAGACGCCCAAATTCCGGTGATTGTGAGCTCCATCACTAGGTACATCCCTCATGAATTTGGTGTCTCTCCGAGTAGACCACCCCAGGCGGACCGGTGATATGCATCAATGAGGAACTCCATTGCTGCGGAGGCTATTACAAGAAACCGGGGTCGTTCTGATGAGGTGTTCTTCGATTCCCTCCCTGGTCGGCAATCGCACGATAACCTCAGCTGGAAAGCGTGAGTTCCGCGGAAGCTGCAACTGTCCCGTAGGACAATGCGCGTATTGGATACTCTTGCTGATCCCAATGACTGCAGAAATTTTACAAAACCAAAAAGGGAACAAAGCACTTGATTAGTACCCTGGAAACCAGCTTGAAAATGGAAACGCGAGGTAGTTTACCAAGCGGGCCCAGATATGCCATCAGACCACTCGTAGAGTCCCGGGCCCTCCCGCCAGGCCAATCGATCTGTGATCAACCTGGTCACTTTGTGAACCGAAGCGATCCGTCCGGTATAAATACGCGGCATCCTACGCTTTGCTCCTCACATCCCTTCTCTCTTCTACGACCATTCTCATTCAGTCCTAAGCCCGCTTTAGTAATCGTACAGCTCTTCTATTCGAAGGAATATCTCTACTTATTGTTCCTTCCTTCGTGTTACCCGTATGTATAGATCCACAGACTTCCTTCCGCGTGCCACGCTCACTAGTTTCCTTGTAGTCTCCCGCATAGGCGCCAGTATGGGGCCCACACGCAACAGCAAGCTTGATAAGAACAAGAAAACTGCAAATTCTCGGAGCAGAAACTCGCGGACGTCTAAGTCCTCTAAGAACCACTCCCAAGGTCGACCTCCCCCCATTTGTAGCCCTCTTGCTCGGGCATTTGCTGGTATCCAGCTTCCCCCTGGGAGAACAATCTATAATCCGGGTGCGCTTCGCTTATCTTTCACTGCTGAGTTCCTCCAACCTGTTCTATGACTTCAGGCCCTCCCCCTCGACACCGCCAGTCTTTGTCGTATAAAGTACAGTCGCAACGGGGTCCACCTGGATTTTATTCGAATATCAGTCCCATCATCGAGAGGTGGCTGCTCGAACCTGATTCCGAATCAGATTCCGAATCCGTCTACCAACCATCATCCCCTGCTACCCCATGCAAAACTTTCCCCTTCCCTGATTATCGTCCGGGCATGCGGACGATTCTTACACACAAGGACCCCGCCCCCTCTAAGTACCCTGTGCGTCTTCCAGAAAGCAATCCCTCGAACGGTCAAGACTGGGCGCAGCCATGCGCTCCTTCCGTTGGAAGGCGACAGCAACCCCTGGCCATAGTGCCGATCACGGCTCTGACCGGCCAACCCGCGCCTTTCTCTAGAGCATACATCCCCTTCAACTTCGCTCAGCCTGGGGCCTCCGCCGCAACCTTTGAATATGCGATCACTGGGACGTTATCCACAGAGTCGGCAGATGCTACTCAGGTCCCGCAGGTTGTGAACCCTGGCCTCGGCGACGGTCCTCATCATTTCTTCTCCCGATTAACCTTCACGAACGCGGGCTCTCCGCCAGAAACTCTTTTCCAGGCAGGCGTCCCCGTTTACGAGGGCCATCCTCCGGCAGGTCCTGTTGAGAGAGGGGACGGTCAACACTTCGGCGGAGAGGAGCAATCAAACCTTGACGACTTTATAGAAATTCCGGGAAATGATTCGGCGGGTGTCGCACCAGGCCAGTAGTAGGGAGGCTAGGGCTGGAGGTAAGCCACGTACCGTGTTCTTGGTTCGCACATCATGCTTATATGTCGATGTTATAGTGCCACCGCCACTATCGCTTGCGCTTAGAGATAGTGACGGCACCACTCGCTTGCGTCTGTGGGAGCCCCAACGCCACAGCGTCCTCTGGGTGCCACATCTACATTGCTGCATTCCACCATCAATTTGCACTTTCCTTTGATGATCTTGTCCATCGCTTTTCGGCAATAACGTCACAATCGTTCAGCTCACTCTCTCCTCTCGCATCTATTCCGGCTTTGCCAGACTCAGTGGCGCTTCGACCCATACGCATACACGAACATCGCATCTCAGGGCCTTCGTCTATCTCGAACTCTCAAGTTCTACCCCATATCGCGCACGATCCTCCACGCTCCGCTGTCTCATGCAAACTACTCGGCGTCTCCTCTCACTAATTTATCGGACTCTCGTTCGCCCCACACCCACTTGGATCTCAAGGATCTATCGAACACGTCTCGTAACGTCTCTACTGCATTCTGTGCTGGTTCCTATCTGTTGCCGTATCGCTATCCATATGCATCTTTTACGTTGAGTTATCGCTTTCCTACGTCTTGTATCTGTCATTTCCCTTCCCTATTTCATTTCGGGATCGGGATCTTCTCTCGACGAATATTCTGTGATCTATCTCCCTCCACGCGCTTCATTGCTATCTATCATCCATGCCATCCTTTCTGTTTCGTTTGTCTTGTGGTGTTGTCGTCCTCCAGTGTAGCTCAAGGCTATTGTTGTACTCTCGTGTTCCATAATCAAGCTCAAGGCTGATATCTACTCTTCTGTTCATCTGTAGTTGCTCTGTATATAGCTCTCGTAATGTAATCCACCACGTCGTCTCGTCACTGCCAGCGCGCCGAACTTTAATGGTGCCATCATGCTCGCCCCTTCAAGCACCACTAGGGGAGTCGCTCGGAAGATGACGCTCACTGACCTGGGGCGGGCACATGCCAGGAGGCGCGCCCTCACCGAAGCTGTACAAGACGGCCGGGGAGTCGATAACCATAGGCTAGCTGGAGAAAGCGATCCTTGAGCGGTGAACCAGAAAAGTGGATAAATGCACAAGTATTACATCCTCGTTATATACTACGATACCTCGTCTAACCACGACGCTGGTGGAATCATGAACTGGAGGCGGAGCTTTGCGTCTGCGACTCCGACTCGGGGATTTTGGGTATGACGTCGGCCTTCTCGAGCAGGTTCTCTAGTTCGCCTGATTGATGCACTAAAGCGCGAGAGATAATTAGTACAAGAAGGGTTGTTGATGGCCGTGGATGCGTGGCGCGGAAAGGGAGGGGAAGGGGAGGGATAGTACGTACTGCTTAGGATGATGTCACATCCGCCGACGAACTCGCCATTGATGTACACTTGTGGTACAGTAGGCCAGTCCCTAAAGACAATAGGAGTAAGAACGTGTACGTAACACGCCGACGAACATGAGAAGTGGAGATGGACAACCCGCACAGGGAGCACGGCAGGATGCACAGATCGGGGAGAGCGAAGGTATAGGGACTCACGAGAACTCCTTGATCGAACTCCTCAGCTCCGAGTCCTCCAGCACATTGAACGTCTTCATCTTCTCCGGTGGCACTCCATGCAGATCAAGCACTTGTACGACAGCGCGCGAGAACCCACACTGAGGCAGGTCGGGTGTACCTGATACCGTTAACATTACATTGAGAAGGTGCAGCAACAACAACAGGGATTGAATCTGACCTTTCATGAAGACCACCACTGGTGTAGACTGCACTGCTTGTTGTATTTTCTGTCGGACGTCATTCGAGAGGTAGCGTCGGGCGAATTGGAGGCCCGGGGAAAGTGCGGTAGCCCTCGGGGCTGCTGCGGTGCGCCGGACGGCGAAGGAGAGGGATGTCTAGCAGCAAGCAGTACATGTCAGTCACGCAGAACAGTGAAATGCACGAAAACGACGTACAGAGGCTCTGAGTGCGCTGCGGAACATGACTGTAGACTGGCAAGAGGCTGCAGGTAATGACCGAACGCCGAATGGCAATGGTTTGCTGACACATTGCCACGTGAACGGCACATTAATCTCGATTCAACCTTAACCCGAAGACGAGCACACTTTCTTTGTCTTGCCATGGTGCCACCGTAGCGTTCTCTCTAACCACTAAGAAGCCGCTGCAAGCAGCGAAGAAAACTTGCACCTCAACATCTTGAGAGCACGTAACGAGCTGGGTATCAGGACTTCAAATTCGAGGTTTTCCTCCCATTCGCACATTGGCCGTCTGTCTTCCAAGAATATACCCGTCCCCTCATCCCTCAAGCCTTTGAAGAAGAGAGTGAAATAAGTGTCATGTTGTCTTGTCACCATGAGTGGCCAATGTGTGGCAGTCGCATGCCGTCGAACCGGCATTTTCCGCGGACCTTGCCGAAGTAGAACCAGCCAATGATCGCCCTCCTTTCACCTGTCCAATGTCCTTCACCTCAGACTGTTTTACCCAGGCTTGTCCGCATACTCTTAGTATTACGGTGCAGCGCTGCTTCAGAGGCCCTTATATCACATTGATCTCTCTCCTATATGATAACCCAGTTCGCGGTCCTGCTCCTCGTCCTGCGTAGCCTGTGACGTCACGAAGGAGTTGCTCTGGCTCAGGAATCCTTATAGATCTACCTACAGAGCGGCAGGACAGGTGTGTCAGTACAACTTCCTACATCGTCTCATCACCACCATACAATGTCTGATCAAAAGTATACCGAGAGAGTAGTCAATGTCCCACCAGCCACGCAGAGGCACTTCGCCAACGGATCCTGGCTCAGTTTCGCCTCTCTTGGGCTGTATGCGCTGAACCGTCTTTACGCCTGGTGGTCCTCTGTAATCAACTATCTCAACTACGGGCTCCTCTACCTGTTCCTGGGCGGGGTCCCGCCGACGTACCATACGAGGCCACGCCCCAAATACGGGTATACTCCAGCGGTCTTTGTGACCGGCGCTCATGATGGCATTGGGAGGTCGATCGCCTTTACGTTAGCTGAAAGTGGGTATGCAGTGTTCGCAGGTGTCAAGTGGGTTCCTTTCGTTTCTCTTCATCTCCTTCGTGTTGACACACCTTACAGGAACGCGGAAGACATCGAAGACCTCAACCTCCGTTTCGAAGAATACCGAAATGCCTTGAGGGCCAGTCCAACGGGAACCCAGATTCTGGGATCTCTCACTCCAGTGGTATGCGATGTCCTTGACCCATCGAGCATCCAGTCTGCTGTGCGGGCGGTGACCAACGCCATCGCCTCAGACTGGAAGGCGAAACCATTCGTCTCCGTCGTAAATGTAGCCGGGTTCTGCATGGTCTCGCCGATGGAACTGACTTCTCGCGAAGACATCCTCGTAAGTCTTCGACTGTCACCCCTTGATCCAGTACTGACCTCTCTTGAATAGCGCATGATGAACCTCGATCTGATGGCGTACATCGACGTTACGAAGGCTTTCTTCCCCCTCCTGAAACGTTTCCAAGGCAGAGTCGTGAATGTCGGCTCCTTCGGCGGCTTCGCACGTAAGTACCCTATAAATAATCCCTTCCTTCGCCGACCGTAACCATCTTCATGTTATCCAGCTGTGCCAGGCTGGACCACCTACAACGCCGTCAAATCCGGCATAGAGAATCTCACGCGCGCATGGTCACTCGAAACGAGCAGGACTCACGGCATCCGGATGGCGACGGTCCGTCCAGGGTTCGTCGCGACCGCAGGCATAGGCCCCAAGATCGCACAGGCCATCGCGTCCTACGAGTCTTCCGACACCGCCATCGGCTTCGACTCGCTCGGGAACGCGCTTCTTCCCGATGCACAACCACGATCTGACGACGAGAAAGCCGATGTCCAGTCGGCGGGTGAATACCCCAGCGCCAGCGCGGGTCGCCCGAATGCGTGGAGGGACTACGAGAAGATGATGCGGCGGAATCGCGAGATGGTGGAGTTGAGCATGGAGCTCGGGACGCCGGAAGTGAACGTGGGCAAGACGGTGCGGGATGCGTTGACGGAGCCGTGGATGCAGCCGGTGTATACGGTTGGTGTGGATGCATTGCTCCGTCAGATGGCGAGGGATTTGTTGCCGGAGCCGCTGTATGAGTGGGCGGTGTTGAAAGTGTTCACGTAGAGGGAAGGACAGGCGAAGAAAATCTGACACTCTGCAAGTTAGGTAAGTAGGTACATTACTAGTATATCTTTTAGTGCAGTCTTCCTCAGTCCCACTGCGAGATCCTTGTTTTCTCGACCGGTTTGGAGCATCGGATGATAGTCTGATAAAGTCTCCCAGTGCAAGTGCACTCGAGGTAAATTCATGCAGGGTGCGAACCCTCTATTGATAACGATAATTGATACAAAATAGATACTTCTCATTTCCGCTCATGCACAGCCCCCTCAACCGGACTCTATCCACCACTTACCTCACCTCTTCACCCATGAGCATCTTCACCACATCGACGTACCGCTTCCTCGTTCCCTCGACGACCTCAGGGGTCATCGTCCACCCCTCCCCATTCGCGCCACCCTCCAGCCCCTTTTTGAACCCATTCTGGACCAGCCAGTCACGCAAGTACTGCTTATCGAAGCTGGGCTGCCCGCGGCCGGGTGCGTAACCTTCCAGTGGCCAGTAGCGCGAGGAGTCGGGCGTGAGGACTTCATCGACGAGGATAAGTTGCTGGGAGGAGGGCGAGGTAGTGGAGGGGACGAGCCCGAATTCGAACTTCGTGTCGGCGAGGATGAGGCCGCGCGATTCGGCGTAGGAAGCTGCGGTTTTGTATAGTTGGATTGCTACGGAGGAGATTTGGGAGTATAAGTCCTCGCCGATCAACTTTGCAGCTGATATAGGGGTTAAGCCAGAGTACGTGTGGTGTCGGTACAAAGTACGAGGACGTACCTGTTTCTGGGGAGATGTTCTCGTCGTGAGCGCCTTGCTCCGCCTTCGTGGATGGAGTGAAGAGAGGTTCAGGTAGTTTCTGCGACTCTACAAGCCCGGAGGGGAGGGGTATTCCGTGGACAGTGCCGGATTTCTTATACTCAGCCCACCCAGAACCTAGCAAGACAACACACGCTCAGAACGAGCCGTACCCCATACAACTTTCGTGATGCACTCACCTGTTAAATACCCTCGTACAATGGCTTCCAACGGGACAACCTGCGCTTTCCTCACCAGCATCGCCCTCCCTTCCAGCTGGTCCTTGTACTGCCGGACTTCTTCCGGCATCTCCTGTACATTGGCAGTAACAAAGTGGTTCGGGATGATGTCCTTGAGCTTTTCAAACCAAAACAGGGAGATCTGGGTCAGGAGCTTCCCCTTCTCCGGCACTCCCTACAGCAGCGAGGGTAAATCGAGTTTACATTGAAGAACAGGGCGACGGACATTGCGCAGGATGACATCGTAGGCGGATATGCGGTCAGACGCGACGAAGAGGAGGTATTCGGGCGAGGAGGTGCTGTAGATGTCGCGTACTTTCCCTTTGGATACGAGGGTGAGGCCTGGGAGGTCCGAGTTTATGAGCGCCGTAGAGTCCGCCATGGCGTTCAGTACGTAAATCAAAGATATCGGAAACTGTCCGATCCGAGATGCCACACCTGTGGACAAATAGGACACAACAGAGCGACAGTATATTCGACCTTCGGAGCCCACTCGGCCTCACCGATCCTGCCGCTGGTACCTCCTTCATTACCCAGTACGTGGGGACCACTGGTCCGGATTATATTCTGTCGTCAAGAAATCATGCTGAGGTCCGCGGCTGCGCGCTGCCGATCAATACTAGCTACAGTCCGATCCCTGCATTGGACACCACGTACTATGTCCCCTCCTCGAGCGCGTCGCAAGGAGATAGCGGAGGATACCCTCGCGAGAACCCCTGATATTGTCGCGTCTACTCCCGGCGCATCGCTCGATTCCACCTTCATCGCGTCGCAGCTGCCACCTCTCGATCGTTCCAAATCGCCCGACTTCCCTTCGTCCAAGGTCAGCGTGATCAACTCAGATTCATTCAGAGCTGCCCGCGGGATTATACGAGAGCACCCGGAGGAAGCTAATGGTAAAGTGGCGGTTCTGAACCTTGCCAGCGACGAGGTGCGGGCTGGCGGGTGGTTGTACAGCTTGACCTCGACCCAAGTAAGTGGAGCAGTGCAGGGGTCGCGGTACCGTTCTCAGACAGGGTAGCTATAGGAAGAGGCGCTATGCTATTCTTCTACGCTTTACGCGACCCTCAAGGAAGAATATTATCCGTGGCCAAACCTGGGTCCCGGCTCGGTAGCGGGTGTATTCTCTCCCGCCGTTGTGGTGTTCAAGGATGATTTGGACCATGACTGCGTCGACTTGCCCGAGGATGAGCGTATTTTGGTGTCTGTGATTACGGTCGCTGCTCCGAGGGGCCCGAAACTCACACCGGACGGAGAAAGCCTTGCGAGGGAGGAAGATAAGCGAGACTTTGAAGGAAAGATCAGGCTGGTGTACCGTATGGCGGCATCAAATGGGCAGCATTATATGGTTCTCGGTGCGTGTAGGGAAGTTATGCTTTGTGGGAAGATATTCACGCCGTTGCAGCTGCCATGGGCTGTGGTGCTTACGCCTGCCCACCTCGGCAAGTGGCGAATATGATGAAGTCCATCCTGCTGGAACCGGAATTCAAGGGGTGGTTCCGACGGGTCGTATTTGCGGTGTATAGTTCCACCCGTAATGGACCGGGTAACTATGGGATCTTCAAAGAGATACTGGATGGTGTAGAGTTGTAAGTACGTGCAACTGTTGTACGAATAATTGGGTAAGGAGCTTTGGATGTGCGCCAGAGCCGTTTCGCAAGACTAGGCGATGCATATGGATGTGTTGGCGCTCGGCCGCACACTTGGGTCTGGGTCCTCGCTAGGGACCACAAGGAACGCAGACAGCAGTCGAAGATCCAGTAAAACGGTGAGAGGCACGGCACTGTCAGGTAACTCGGAAACTCTTATGACAGCTACATACCGCGCCCCCGCCTGCTTCTCCTCGTCCCGTCGTCGGTATCCTCGACCTTCCCAGCTAAAGCAACGGCCTTATCGGCACTGATGCGGTGCTTCTTGACTGGACCAGGGCTGCCCTCTGCCGACGTTGAACAAGTGGCTGGTGCCGACCTCACGGAGGATCCTGAGGGAGTAGCACTTGCATTGACCCATCCTAGAGACTCTTGCACCGGCTCGTCGCTGCTTGGTTTCCTCGGGCATATGCAACCTGCCACTCTTCCATGGATGCAGCTCTGGCTCTTCCACGTCACGAAGTTCGTTTTTGCATACCTGTTTCAAGAGCTCGCAGGATCGAAGCGCTTCAGCAGAGTTGGGTCGAGACGATTCGGTGCGACCCTAAAGGTATAGGGTGAGCGCGATGCGCAGTCGTAAGAATACTCTTAGCCATACCGAATACGACCGTTGCCAACACGTACGACAATGGCGTTGCCACAACACTCGAGAGGGCCAAAGGCGATGTTAGTATCGTCTCGACTGACGAGGGTTTCGAACCGTAAATCTGTCAGCTCGTCGTCGCAGTACTCCGTGTATTCAAGTGTGAACCTGTGATTCTGCGCAATGAGTGAAGACACCCGGAGCCAAAAGGTAAATACTGTAAAAACCTTGGATAAGGACAGCACACAGTCCAGACATCTAGTGGTACGTAAACACCGAGCGATACCTCTTGGCCGGCCCTGTGGATAAGATTTCATACCCCTTCGCTGATAGGAATGTGCGCTCGGACAACATTTCGGGTGCTGAAAGAGACGACGATGCAATCGCTGAATATGCTGCCGTAGAGCACTAGACAAATGACGCGTACCCAGACGGCTATACATCTCTGTTAATGGATCAACCTTCGTTTGAGCGTTGGATTCAAGCGCTCCCACTCTGCACTGCCGATTATCAAGACCCCGAGGTTACATTCGTCCCGGTCAAGGACAGCGCGAATCGTGCGGCTGAGGGGAACCCTGTTTTTCAGGATCTCCAGAGTATTCTTGTTCGACATGATAAATCAGCAAATGGCCCGAATAGCAATTAAGAAAGCGAACTTGAGCGTACATTATAACCGTCGATAAACTGTGCCTGCCTGCTTGTGCATGAGAGGCGGCTCTTCCCTTGGACGGTAAGCATGTGCTTATACTTCAACCTCTGGCTGACAGTAGGCGTCATTGTCATCGTGTCTTTGTCCAGACAAGGCGACATGAGATTGCTGAAAGCCAAAGTTCATACTCCATGTCTGAAAATGATGAGTATAACGGAGACCATAGCTCTATTCCGTCATCATGACGGGTTCGGTGGGCAAACATGTAGAATGCTGCACAAAGGCGAGTTAAGCGTGACGGCGAACGTATGCTTTCGCCCTAGGTCAACAACGCACTCAACCCTACAAACATAAGATGATGCAAGGAGCCAACAAGAATAGGTCAGTAGAATGCACGAGACATCGAACTCACCCGCAATGGCTAGGATCTCCAACAGTGTAGATCCATCTAGGTCTCCCCAGATACTGTCACAGAAACTATCTAGGACAGCACCGTCTCCGCGTTGAGGGTCAGTAAGTAGAGGCTCGCATTCCGCGACAACACCACACAAGAAGTCCTCTAAATCATCGAACACGTCAGGAGGGGCATCACTGGGTGCCAGACCATGACTTCGCCACAGCGGCTACATAGTATCGCATATTGCATGGCCGTAAGAAGTCATTAATGAGACCGGGTGGAGACGATTAATCAGTGCTCACCTGAAAGATGAGATCAGGCGAGCAAAATATTGACACCGACAATATGGATATACACACGTTTTTAGGAACAACAGAATTATACCACATATCCGAGGAATAAAATTGTCACGGTAATGATGTATGGGGCAACGGGGAAACCTAGGAACTCTACGGTCAAGACATGGAAAGCTTAAGCAACGAGAAAAGTAAAGACGAACGGAGAATATATCGTATCCGAAGTCCGAAGTAAGGACGCATCCACCTGTTGAGATAGACTGCGGACCACTCAGACGGTAATTCGAACACAAGGCAAGGACCAGTTCCTTGGGGTCAAAGGAGTTTGGTTTGCCCTCCTGGAAGTACAAGTATCATGTAGAACATAAACAAAGCCTTCTCGAGCCTGAATATTCGTAGGCGATGGATGCTTCTGCGCTTCCTTCTGCTCATTTTGAATCGCATCAGCCCAGATATTCTTGAGTGTTATCTCATAGTCTCTGCCCATGAATTCGCGAAGGACACGCTGCGCGTATTCGCGTTGTGCGTGACGTTCTCGGTACCCTGTCATTTTGGAATGGCAAAAAGAGAAAGAATCCAGCTAGCTAGCATGCACTGCAATCCAACATGAAGCCGTCGCCGCCGTAAGTAGTCAGCGCACCGATTGCCACGCGTGCAGGTACGCGTCTGTGGCGCGACTGCCAGCATTAAACGCCACCCGGATGTGCCGGGCCGAGGTACCGCAGTTGACGATCTAATCTCTCCTGCTGGTTCTCGCGGAGATATCGACCGAACGTCTTTGCGAATACGTCTACAAACTGGACGATAAGCAAGCAGAAGACATGCCGGAGGCATCCTGGCTATTAATTTATTATTATTGAAGGCGGCGGCCGGTCTGTGATAGCAGCCTTCCCTTTCGTATAACAGTCCCGAGGCATCGCAAAGGTCGCCAGTGCGCTCCCTCCCGTACACTGACAGCTTCGCCCGAACCACCAGTCAGAGATGTCAGCAGCAAAGCCGCACTACCGCATCGGCGTCGACGTCGGAGGCACCAACACCGACGGCGTCCTGCTTTCCCTCTCACTCACCTCTTCTTCGCAGCCAAACCGCGGCGTTTTGGCGAGTTTCAAGTCGCCTACGACTCCGGATGTAACCAGTGGCATTCAAAGTGCTGTGAGAGAGGTGCTGACAGAGAGCGCAGTCAACCCGGGAGACGTCGGGAGTTTGATGATTGGAAGTAAGTCTAAGGCATCCGTCTACCCGCAAAGACTTCCGCCATGCATTCTGATGTATCCCCATACCTCAGCTACACATTTCATTAATGCTGTCGTGGAGCGTGATGCCCGCCGTCTGTCGAAAGTCGCGGTGATCCGCTTGGGTGCTCCATATACCAAGGTGTGTTTGGCCATATTGCTCGACCCACTTACTACTCAAACTGTCCCCCCAATAGGAATGTCCCCCTTTTCTCGACTTCCCGCCGTCATTACGCGCAATCATGGACGGACATGTCGCCATCCTGAAAGGAGGGCTCCAGATTGATGGAAAGCTCATCAACGACGTTCGTGCTCTTCCTGCCCTGCTGCATTGTCATTTCCGACACAACTACCCTATGGTAGATCAACGAAGCCGAGATAGTCTCTGAATGCAAGATCATCAAGGAGAAAGGTCTGAAAGCAATAGCGGTCGTAGGAATATACTCATCCCTCGACAGGCAGGATGTAAGTTCCCAACTTTACTATCCCCTCTCGATATTCCACGAATTGGATCAATCCGTTCTATCCACTTCTAGGGCACCTCCCAAGAAGACCGAGCAAAAGCCATAATAGAACGAGAACTTGGCGAAGACGTGCACGTTGTCTGCTCCCGCGAAGGTCAGTTCCTCCCCTCTCTGGCCTTATAACCCCCTAAAGTTATATCGAGGCAGTGGCCAACCCCGGCCTCCTCGAGCGGGAAAACGCCACCATCCTCAACGCCTCGATCCTCGCCTTCGCCCGGCGCACCATCGCCTCCTTCCGGCGCGCGATGGGCAAGGTCGGGCTGAGCTGTCCTTTGTGAGTACCGCCCCTTGTTCATATACAGGCATCGTGTAACATATATGTGTATGCTCGCCTGGATAGATTCCTCACGCAGAACGACGGGACGCTCACGACTGCGCGGGAAGCAGCGCGGCTCCCGATCCGGACGTTTGCCAGCGGGCAGACTAACAGTATGCGCGGGGCGGTGAGTATCACGTTGATCTCATGGTGGCCACTTGCACCGGATTGATTGCATGCATGCGCAGAGCTATCTAGCAGGCCTTGGATCGTCCGCGTCGGAGATCTCCAAGAAGGGACAGAGCGTAATCGTGGTAGACATTGGCGGGACGACTACCGATGTCGGCGTGGTTAGTCTTCACCGTCGATCATTCCCACTGTCCGGCGATAATGATTGGGGAACTTTCACCTTAGCTCCTGCCCAGCGGATTCCCGCGGCAGGCGGCTGCGTTCATCTCTGTCGGCGGGGTACGCACGAATTTCAGTATGCCGGACGTACAAAGTATAGGACTCGGAGGAGGGAGCATTGTGAGTATTCGCAGATCACAAAGGGTTCTCTCTGAACGCCAGTGGACTAACCTCGCGCAGGTGAGGACTCGCGCGGAATCGGGCGGTGTCAAAGTGACCGTCGGACCAGAGTGAGTGTCCATTCTTTTTCAGCATGGAAAGCATGGAAATTTATGGTGCAGCCTCGCCTCCGGGGTGTCCGCTGCAATTGGTTCTTTCCGCAATGAGCTCAATGGCGATGTTACAGTGCATCTGAGAGAGGATATCCCACAGCGTGGAGCGGCTCCAAGCCAACTATGTCCCTTAAAATCGGCAAACTTCCTTTCCCTGACTACTCCACCCTGCGGTATAATCTCCGACAGATACACTCTGTGGTCAGTGGGGGGTCACTCGCGGGTCCCACACACTTGCCTTGTCGTTCGGTCCCGCCATCTTGGAGGAGTTCGCAGCTCCGTACAATGCTCAATTAGCACCGTATGGAATCGTGTGCTCTTCTAACGTGGTAGGCTCTTCCAGGGCTATGTTGATGATCCCTAGGGACAAGTCATCCAGCTCACAGGGTACCGCTTCGCGGGAAGGACTACTTGTTGTGATGACGAGGTATACACACACTGCATACCCAGCTGGCCTTATGTTACCATATCACGCCATACGTCTCCTCGACCATCAGAAATAACAACTAATACCACCATTCAGCTCCACTGGATACAAACTCCTTACAGAGGGCCTGGTCTTCGGAGGCTCCACCCGCACCGCGACAGACCTCGCGGTGGCGCTCAACCCGTCCCTCGCCATAGGGGACGTGTCCAAAGCGAAGAATGCCTTCGACGAGGAAGAACTCAAAGGCGCAAAGGAGTGCGTGAAGAAGCTGCTCGAGGATGTGGTATGTGTCCCTATTCGTACCTTGCCATGGAAGTGCGTGACACTCATGGCGCTTGCTTGTGCAGATTGACAGGATGAAGACGAGCCCCGAATCTGCGACTGTGTTGCTCGTCGGAGGTGGGAGTGTGATTGCACCCGAACAGCTGAACGGGGTTGCGGGTACGTTGGATAGAGGTCGTTTTTTGAATCTCGAGACTGATTGGTATAATGCAGAGCTTATCAGGCCGCCCCTGTTTTCCTGCGCCAATGCTGTCGGAGCTTGTGTTGCTAATGTTTCCGGAGAAGTTGGTCAGTCCTCTCCGACTACATCTAGTATCGTCACTCTGACCTAATATCCTGGCACCGTCGATACAGACACGATTGAGATCCTGGAGGACAAGAAGCTTGAGGAAGTGGTTGACAAGGCCAAAGCGCTCGCCATTGAGAGGGCGGTCCAGAACGGCGCCAAGCGGGAAACGGTGAAGGTGGTCGAGGTGGAGAATCTACCGGTTCAGGTACGCTTAATCTGCTTCTCGGCTTGCGCTGTAGTGTCTGACCAGGCATATCCTACAGTATATTACGATCAAAGCCACCCGTCTCATCGTCCGCGCTGTGGGCGAACTGGACGCGGAAGCCATTCCAGCTGAGTCAACCGTCATCGAAGACTTCGCAGATGCGGAAGAGGGCTATGTAGAGGGCGAAAAGCTGGCGGCCAACGGAGAAGCAGGGTTCGTCGAAAGGAAGATCGATATCGCCACGTATCGGCCGACGATCAACGAGAAAGGTGAATGGCTGCTGAGTGAGGTCGACCTAGAGTGGATACAGGAAGGTTGTGGCATCCTGGGTACGGGAGGAGGAGGGAGTCCGTATCCCCCATTCATCATGTAAGGCTGGCTTTGGCTGAAGTTTGCCACAACGCTGACGAAGAGAGACCAGGGCTCGTGAGATCCTGCGAGAAGGCGGGTGTATCAAGGTCATCTCCTCGGATTCTCTCCCGGATGATGCGATGGTATGCCTTGCATTCGCTTTTAGTGGTATCATATGCTCATTCATCCAATTGCAAATTCAGATATTCAGAGGGCACTTTGTAAGACCTCGCCATTGTGTGGCACTGACTTGAGAAAAACTCACGACTATTACTATAGATGGGTAGCCCATCTGTGTCGAATGAGCGACTGCAAGCCGGAACGGAAGTCGAAACTGCTTGTCGAAATCTGATGAAATTCTTGAACGCCGGAAAGCCTGCAGCAGTCATCTCGTGAGACACCTTGCCTCGGTACCGGAAATATGAGCACTAATACTTGGCGAGCGCAGTGATGAGATTGGTGGGGGCAATGGCATCCAACCGATGATTCTTGCATCCGCGAAGCATCTCGAGTGAGTGCCACCCTCCGCTGCTTCTTACAGGCTTCGCTAACAATAGGCCCTGGACGGCGTATCCAATGAAGTATTCCTGTGTAAGTTGATTAATGCCACTCTTCCAACAATCATGCTGATTTCCGGAATCTAATCAGCTTCGACGGTGATTTAATGGGTCGGGCCTATCCTCAGATGTGGTATGTGAACCTAGGGCGGCTGAGAGTGTGCATTGCTTACCGTGATGCTATCAGGCAGAGCCTTCCGGCGGCGTTCTCAGTGCCGGCGAGTCTGACCCCTTGTGCTATCGCAGACGGTGTCAATAATTCAATTGTGAGCACACGGCGGTATGCAATCGAAGCAGTCTATCATGGTATTAAATCAAGTTCATAGGTATTGCCTTCCACGTCCGATCAGTATATGGTTGAGACCATGTGCGGGTTACTGTCGTCGAGAAACTCGGATTTATCGGGACTGACGCTAACTTTAGACTAAGAGGCGTATGCACCACTTTGGGTAGCAAGGCTGGTGTTAGTATGGCCCCTCTCACTGCCAAGACCTGCAGAGAATACGGGGTCACTCGGACTGTATCACAGGTGAGTTATCTAGGCACTGAATTATCCAAGAGGTCCATTGTCATTCTATTCTAGGCGTGGAGACTCGGGAAAGCTGTCGCTGAATGCCGCTCTAAGAGGTGAAGGCCACAGTTTAGGTTCAACAAGGAGTATACCGCTTACTGTATCATGATCCAGTGATTTGGGTGGCATAACGGATGCTATCCTCAGCCTGCAAAACGGCAAATGCCTGTTTGTTGGTAAGATCGTGGGAATCGAGCGTGAAGTACGAGCTGGTTTTACGGTACGTCTCCATCCACTTCCCGAGCGGAGCATGACTGAGCTGAAGATCGTAGTGGGGTTCCGTTACTAGTATGTGCTGCTTTCGTGGTTGTCGTTCGTTATTCAGGATAACACGGAATAATTCTAGTGGCACCGCTTACCCTCGAGGAGGAAGAGAGCAAAGGCTCCAAGAACCTGCCAGATGAATCTGCAATGCAAAACGCAACTTTGCGTATTGAGTTCCAGAACGAGAATTTGCGCGCAGACCTGACTTCATCGGGTGGTAGGACTGAGGTAAGGGCTATAACGGCCTCGACCCACGGCTGTCATCCAAGAAGCTAAGCACAATGTATCACATATGACAGCTCATCGCGGTGGTCCCTGATCTTATCACCGTCCTCGACTCTCAATCTGGCTCCGCCTTGGGAACGCACGAATATCGCTACGGTGTAAGTACCGCCCCTTCCTTTCGTGAACTTGCTTCCGTGTTGACTTCCAACCAATCGATACGCACAGCTTCGTGTAACCGTGATCGCACTGGCGGGCCATCCGCTTTGGTCCACTAAGGAAGGTCTGAAGACGGGTGGCCCCGGAGCGTTCGGGTGAGCAAGATCTCATCTTTCACGTGTAACCGGAACTACACTCAGCGCATGGACTATACCCCTCGTGTGTGCACAGATTAGATTTGCCATACATGCCAGTAGGTGAATATCGCGAGCCGGTCTCCGTCATCGAGGAGTACGGCCCTGGCATCCGAAAGTGACTAGAGGAGTGTTTTCGAGAAGGGTGAAGCAAAACACAGCTCTACGGCGATTCCAACTTCAAATCCGGGCCATGGAAGCGCGCGTAGGGAGACAGCATATGTATTTGATCTATATATACCAGATAGAGATAGATCTACATTTCTAGAATATTAGGAGGGGATCAGGATATCGCCTAATAAATACGGGTCCATAAATACGTGCGATGGGATGAATAATGGATACAAAGAGCTTGCGTGTAATGTACGTGCAACGAGTGGATGATGGGCTGAATGCGACATTACAGTATACGGAATCACCGGAATACTTTTGGAATAGTGACAGATAAATAGTGCGTGCGGGCATGGCTCGGATGGTCATTATATGTACAGGCATTTCCGGCTTGATTCGGAGGCCAGCATGTCATCGCCGGCCTGCTGCGCGCTTGTAGTCGTTCTGCTTGTTCTTGAGTCCTTCGAGAAGGTGGTAGAGGATCGTGCGGACCGCAGGCATGTACTGTTCGAGGACCTGCGGCGACGGGTCTTCAGCGAGACACTGCTCGAGCACTGCACGTAGCTCCCTTGGAACTGCGTAGATTTCGCTTTGCGGGGAGGCAGTTCTGAGCACTAAGGGGGGGCTGGTGTGACAGATTCTTACCTCATGTCAATATTGTGGCGGGCGAACGCAGTGACCATGGTGTTGAATTCATTGCCCAGCTGGACGTACACGTCGCTGACTTGGGTTTCCGAGGCCCTCATTTCGCTCCATTTCCGGAGAACGTCTTGTAGCCGTGTGGTGGCCAGCAGGAGGTTCTGAACTGCCGTCGGGACATCGACGATTGGTGTCTGACGTTCTTCATGAAATTCAGGATCGCAAAACAGAAGGAATCGCTACCCACTGCAGACGACGACTGTTGCCTGCGACTGTCCGTCGACGAGCCGCCCGGCGAGCTCGATGCATAGCCAAATCTCTGGTACGCTGAACCAGACATTGCGGGGCGTGTACGAATGACTTCCAGGACTGTGGAAGGGGAGATTAAATAGCGTGCGCGCGGATGTACAGCCGACGTCGAGATGCGGACGCAGCAGGGAAATAAGAAGAATTATAGAAAGAGTATGTTGGGAGAAACTACGGGAGCATGAGGCTTGTATAGCATTGGCAGTTCATGCTGTCGTGCGTGACTGCTATGCGGCGTCATGGCAAATCCCGTACGAGAACGGCCAGATCTCGCTGACGTAACCACCCAAAACGTGGTGGCGATGCACGCAGGGCTATGCCCGTGACACGAAGCTGATCCCGCCTTGATGGCAAGCCGCTATGTTGCCTTGTTAGCTTGCAACGACCAGCGACTGGCAAGCCCTTGCCCCCCTGGCGAGGTCCTGCACCAGCATCGACCTCGGGAGGGGGGCGAGACGGTATGGATTTATCTCGATGAATCAGGAATTAAGATCCGTCGGACATGTGCTCCGGAAGAGTATGTACCATATGCGCAGCTTGCATTGCTTTTGCCCACGTTGAATCGGAAGCTGCGTCAGTGATTCAGGCTGATAATAAGTTTGCCATTGTCTTGTATGTTTTCTAGACTCTGGATTGCGCAGTCGATCGAGTAATAGCGCAGTCTGAGTTGCTCAGCGCTCAATATTCAATGCTCCTCGACGTTTGCGTGACGACACGGCTGCCAGCTGGTAAGTCCGACTCCTCTCGTGTCCCCGACCCGTGGGCCGTGCTTTCATCGATCAACGATGTAGATCACGGACAGGCCACGGAGGCCAAGTGACGATCATGATCGTGGCTACTGTTTGTTGCTGGTATCCACAGCGTGTGTCTGAATGATCATGCAAAGGGGCGGCATGTCGCAAATGATACTCTCAGGGCCTCCAGTGATTGACTGGAGAGGCCACTCCCTAGACGTCATTTCACACTGTCTTGCAGAGTGGGACCGATACCTTTGCAATATCGTGCAAATACGCGATCGGAACACGGGCTGCGGTCATCCTCCTGCGGGTACGTGTCCTCACCAGACATTTCCGGTGCTCGAAACTCCGGATTTAACCCTTCAGGGACTACCTTCCAACTTGCAGAGTGGCCAATGTCAGGTCTGCCACCATGATCCCCCTTGAAGCTCGTATCGCAACCCAATCCAAGTATACCTATAGCAGAATTCGGGAAGATTGAGTTCGCAGATCCGACTTACCATCCAGGTATCTGGCGGCTCCGGGTTCGTCACCCCCGAGAGTACCTACTCCTCGCACATCCGCGGGGAAGTGTTTGGCTACTGCCAATCCTGAAACGTCTCCGAGAGACCGATGATATCACGGGGCCGTTTCCACTACTGCTTCATGTATAACAGTACTCGTACCTGGAGGCGTTCCGCATCTGTTCGGCCAGGTACAATGGTGTGCGCACCTATTTATGCTCCTCGATCGTAATCAAGGGACGCCGATGTGCGCGCTGTCGCATTTCGTCGCGGGAGAAGGCAGAGACAAGGTTAGACCCCCCCCCCCCAAGGAATCCGGGCGCCATATACAGGAGTGACACGGCCTGCACGAAGATACGTTGCAGGAAACCACCGGCACCAAACGGGCGCAACCGTGATCCTGCATCATTCCATCTAGACGCAAGAGGTAGCGCTACACGATCCTACCACTGATTCCGCCCATGGACCACGCCGGGGCGGAGGCGGCACATGGCCGCGGGCGCGATCTAGGACGGCTTTCTCCTCGGGTCTCGCACCTCCACGTCTTTCAATATCTCCTGAACTTCGGCCTTGAACTCGGCCTGTGTAGCAACAGAGATGATGTGAGCGGTAAACACCAATCATGACAGCAGCTCTCAAAGGTAAAATGCAACAATCGAGATGGATAGGGCGTACATACGTTCTTTGCGTATTCGTCGCACAGCGGCTTCACCTGCCTGAATGCCCAGCCGAACTCGTTCATCATCTTTTCCTTCTGGTGGTTGTGCGCGGGGCTCTGATGCTGCCGCTCGAAGGCAAAGAGGAACCGCGCGATGCGCAGCCGCACATCTTTGTTGCTGATTGCGTGGTACTCTCCAATACTCGAGGGAAACTGGCGGTCGAGGCGCTGGCGGCGTTCTAGCTCTTCCTTCTCGAGTTCCGTGCGGCGTTGTTGAAGGGGAGTGATGGTTTGCAAGTGGCTGTACTGCAGCATGGAGAGTTCATTGGCTCTCGATATTGATGCTGGTCCATTTGCGTTCCGTATATCTCGATAGAGCCTCTATTGCAGTAGACCTCGCTCGCAGGCTGTCTATCTTGCGCGTAGCGGCATGCGCCACTCACCTGAGTATCTTTATCCCACCCAACGATTTCGGATGAATACGTCGCGTCCAGCACTTCCCCCCAGTACGTTTCCGCCTGGTAGTCAACCAGGTCTTGTACATCCTTACGATGTTTCTCCTTCATATCACGTATCTGCCCTTTGAGGCCGGGTAGAGTCCGACTATCAGGCTTGCCAATATCTTCTTTCATCTCGTCCAGACTTCAGGAATCTCCGAGCTCAGAATCCCACAGACGCCACAACAGCATACCTTGGAAAGAACGACCCTTTCTTCTCCAGTACGTGCTGCACGAAGCTATGCCTCTCGGCTGCGTCCCGGAGCTCCCGTTCGTATCGCCGCTTGCGCGCCTCATCCCAGTTGGAATCCGGGTCTCCGTAGGGTTTTCCTGGGATGTCGCTTTCCGAGAGTCCGTTCTTGCTCATTGTATCAAGTGAGTGCCACCGCAAGAAGCTGCTGCGCGATCAATCAAGGACTTTCCAAAGACCGATTAGGAAGGTGTCGGCTATGTTAGGCAAATGTTGTGGCACCAAAGATCCTGCACTCTCGAGGCTATCTGCCCAGCTGATACAGCCATCATCGTATCAGCGATTCTAACATGCTTGTATATTGCTTAGGGAGCCAACACATCTGATACAAATTACGAGAAAGAAAACTAGAGCAATGAAGATATATCGAACATAATGCCCTCCTGCGACCTATTACTAGTAGAGACCTTCACGGGTCTGATGACCTCTGAAATTTCTCTATGTCTCTCAAGCAATCACCAGTGTATGTCTTCCTTGTGGTATTCTCGTATAGTCCATAGCCACGTCTCGTTTATGCCGTACGGGTCAGAGGACGGCTCATCTGCCAAATCGACACTCGCTCTGTATCTAGACCCGCTGGAACTTATGTCTTGGCTGACGGATCGCAAAATATTGCGATAGTAAGCGAAATCATCGTGATTCGTACTTCCCAGACTGATTCGCAGGTGTTTCAGGGCTGGTAATGAGAAAGGCCAATGTTTGGACGGATCGCGTTTCAACATGCACTCAACCAGCAACATAATGTCGTGATCGCCCCAGAGGGGTTCGGGCAGACGGAGTTGAAGCGACGAGAGACTGGGGACTTCCCTGAACAGAGATACCAGCTCGAGAGGATTTCTGGGACTTGTACGTGGATCCAGCTGCAATGTCTGCAGTAGACATCTTGACCGACCGAGCATGTTCCTCCAGCATTCGGAGAGCCCGATAACGCCCCACACTACGAGGTGCTCGAGTCTAGGAAGATAAAGCTGCTCGACAAAGCGGGTGATGATAAGATCCCCGTGGCCATCTTCGTCGTACTGTTCGAACATGACCTCCAGAGACTGAAGATCCGGCGCATGAATCGGTTCAATGCCGGGAAGGATGTCCTCTAGTAATTGTTCCTTGTGGCGAACGCGTACAGCCAAGCTCAATTCCACGAGCGCAGGACATCCCTTCACTACGCTGTGAAGTCGATTAAGACACTGCAATGATTGGAATCGTATATTGAGAGACGTCAACCGGCCCCAAGGTATTATCAAGTTCTCGTATTGAAGAATGAAGGACCAGTCGAAAGTAAGGGCCCGAAGTCCAGGAACCCTGATAACGTGACCAGAAGGAACGATGGGGGTGTAGTCCTTGATTGCACGAACTTGTATTGTGAGTTGCCGGAGCAAGGGTAGGGGTATCGAATGAATCCCAGGCGATAGGGGCAGGGGAAAACGCCTATCTACAGCGAGAGTGAGTGATACACTTTCGCAACGCTTGATGTGTTTTGCCACTATGGCGAGCACATCGTCAACAGCGGGGAGGATCTTATCCACGTGCCACCGTTCATCTACCCTTTGGTGCGCCATCAGTGCTGCAGGCGATATTCCCAGACTCAACGGGAGCTCGTTTGCGAGAGCGAGATGCATCGTCAAAGGAAGCCTGCCTGCCCGAGTAATCGACATTTCCGCGAACTCGGGCACAATACATCTACCACCCTTCAAGAACAGGATAGACCACAGTTCGTGGGTATTCGCAGCGACGTCCCTCCAGTGACGACAGACCCATGTAAGACGCAAATGTCCATAGCTTGGGGAGACGCTAGGATGACCGTAGAGATCATCCCAAAGATAGTGAAGGAAGACCAGGCCGAGCAGCTCCACGGGCAATCCGAACAACCCGCGGACCGGAGATAGCAAGGACCTGCATATCGCAATATACTCCTCAACCGGTGTACGCTTCTGGGAGATTCTGATAAACTCCTGCACAAGTTCGTCGCCGTGGCATGCCATCTCGAGGATGGAGACTTCAGCTTCAATGGCATCCAATGCAGCGATCGCAATGCGTATTTCTTCCAGCAGGAGAAGGCGATCAACATCAGACGCAAGTCTGTTTACGTTCATGAGACGTTCAACGACTTCTGTAACGCCGGGAGAGCGGACGTGAACAGACGTCAAGCCAGAATGAATCACGTTACATACCCGATCTCCTCCAGAGAACCCGTGGAGCGGACCCAAAGCGCAGCTGATGGCCACTACCGGAGTATTGAAGGGTAACCTTACTGAATGGAGCGTCCATCTCATTCATGGAATGCAGGATCAACTATTCCAGGAGAGACTCGAATGTTGACCGGGGTATAACTAGAAGGTTAAAGTTCCTGTTTATGAATACCAGTGTGTCTCTTCAATTGTCTTCTAAGTTGTCAGGAGTGAGCAGTCGACGCGTCAGAGGGTAAGCCACAGAGAGGTTGTGGCAGCGAAGACGAACTCATATTTCTCACGCTAGGGCTGCCACATAGTGTGACCATAACGTACCAGTCACGAATGTCACAACTTACGAAACCATGCAGAGAGAAGCCACTGCCTCGCAGTGAGGGTGCGAGGTATGCCTGTCCTGACTGCACAAAGAGGCTCGCCTTGCACTACGCTTGTCGTCCGACAATATTTCAAAGGAACTGCTACCTTGCACAATCGGCTGCGTCCATCTACATACCGACAACTGTCGCAACAGATATTCTAATTCTTCCAACTGGGGGTGTAAGAGCGATGCCTGTCAGCCTCGGCGCAAGCGACGAGTCAGACCCACTCACATTTTCACCGTCTTGTCCCTCCCACCGCTAACGACTTTGTCCGCCACAAAATCTACACAGTAAACCTCGTCCGTATGGCCCGGAAGATCATTCTTCAGCTTGTACGTCTTCAAATCCCATATCTACGTCGCGCTAAGTCAGGACATGAGACAGCACGCAACGGACACACTGACCTTCAACGTCGTGTCCTTACTCGCGCTCACCAGCATCCGGGAGTCCGCGCTCCAAGCGAGCCTATAGACAGGCCCGACGTGGCCCCGGAGCGTCGCGATGTACTTGCCCGTTCGCCCCTCCCATATCCGGATCGCGTTGTCCCAGCCGGCGCTTGCCGCCCACCGGCCGTCCGGTGAGAACGCGACGTGCGAAATCTGCCGCTGGTGGCCTGTCAGTCGGGTGATGGGTCTCGTCGACGGAGCAGAATCAGAGGAGGGGAAGAGAGACCAGAGGAAGAGGGTGTGGTCGTCTGAGCCTGAGATGAGGAGTTCGGGCGTGGAGGCGAGAAGGGTGTTGTATCTCTCCAGCGCGAGTTTCTGAGCTGTACGCCTTTGAGGATTAGAGGATGATGCAGGGAACAGGGGGCATATGTCACAAACCTTCCTCCTCTGACGCGGGTTTCTTGCCCTTGTGGTTATATGGTCCCGTTCGGAGGACGAAATCAGTGTTGAGCGTGAGCGTCGTCACCCAATGTGCGTGATCTTTCAGCGTGTACAAAGGTTTCCCCTACGCTTCGCATAAGCCAGTACAGACCCACAAAGTAGGCCTCTCTTACCCCGTTGGCGTCCCAGACCCTCACAGTCCTGTCGCTTGATGCGGTGTAGAGCACGCCCTTTCCGCCCATCCCGCCACCGCCCCAGCGAACAACGTTTACGCTGGCCGAATGACCACCCAGCGCATATTCCAAGCGGCGAGTGGATGCATTCCAGACACGGACCGTACCGTCTTTGGAAGAAGATGCCAGGCGCGGCGATGAGGCGTTTCTATATCGAAAGGATATGAGAAAGAAGATCCGCTACAAATTAACGGGGCGTACATGTGGATTGGCTCCCAGGCAAGGGAAGTGACCCATTTTGTATGGCCTTTGAGGGCGTCGCCAATCGGCTTCCCGGTTTTGGGGTCCCATAGTCTAACCTGCAACGAGTGGGTTGTGAATATCAGCATTGAAGCACAGCTGTAGGTAGGTACGTACGTGTCCATCATGCCCGCCAGTAGCAAGTTTCCTCTCCATCGCCTCCCATTCGACACATAATACCCAGCCTTTGTGCCCCGAGAGTGTATGGGATGGTGTTTCAGTGAAGAGATCCCAGAGACGAGCGGTGCAGTCGCCAGAACCGGTTGCGAGAAGATTCCCGGTTGGTGAGAAGGAGGCACAAAGGATCGGTGATGCATGTCCTGATAGCGTTGATGAGCAACGGGTTGCTGGCCGCACCTTGAACACTGCTTGAGGAGAACATCGGATCACAAAGACGTCTTCTGGTGTAAATGCTTTTGAAGCATGCGACAACACGTCTTCTTCTATAGATTTCGCGATGACCACGCGAGAAGGAGCTCCAGCAGTAACAGCGTCTGCTGGGAGCTCTATTGAGAAGGAAAACGGCACGGGATCCTCATCCTGAACCAGAAAGCTGCGTGAGTAAGAGAGATGTCAATAACGGATGTAAGATACACTCACCTTGACCGACAACTTGTTGACCAAAGCCTCTAGTCCTTCTCTCGACACATTTGCTGGTAGGTTGACGGCAGGTGCTAAAGGTGAGCCATCGTCCTCTGAAACGAATTGTACCACGACATTTGCAGTGGCTTTCGGCGGCTCTGGGGCGGGCTGTGGTATGCCATGGTACACCTTTTGACGTTTCGGCGGGGGGAGTAGGACAGACATAGCTCAGGTTGGCAGCGAAACCAGAGCGAAACGAAATTTCTTTCTTGGTCGAGCAGATGACGTGAATGCTATTACGCGAGTCAAGATTGGCTTCGCTAAGAGCGTGGGAGCGCGTGTAGGAGGAAGCGCCTTTTATGGAACTCACCGCCAACGCTTGACATTCGATCGCGTATCATCATGCTTACAATTGCTTTATACAGCTTGTCTCTGACGCCCAATTGAGCTAGAATGCTCGCGTCATCCATGTCGCCGAGTCCATATAAAATGTTGCCCGATGTAAGGACGGTATGCGCATCTTCTTCAGCCTGTTCGCTCTCCTCGTCACGGTGTACGCAATCCTTCGCGGCCCCCTCAAACCCAAACGATTCCGTAGTGCAAGCTTGACTGCCCGATTACTGTCTACTTTGCCCAGTTTGACGAACATGTCCGTCAAGATTGTCCCTCGGCGTAGCGAGGAACGTGGTCACGCCGACCATGGATGGCTGCACACGTTCCATACCTTCTCTTTTGCCAGGTACGTCGACAAATATTTCGTACAAACCATCTCAGGGATTGACATCTAGTTCTCAGCTATGCTGACTGGAGTCACGATCAATATGGCTGCCTTCGTGTCATTAACGAAGACCGGGTAGAAGCCAACACCGGATTCGGCACCCATCCTCACCGCGAGTTCGAAATCTTCTCATACGTGGTGGACGGAGAGCTCGCTCAGTACGTTATTGCGCCACTTCTGTTGATCATTCATCAATCTGACGCCGCGGTTACAGTCATGACTCTATGGGCAACAAAGAGGTCCTGAAGCGTGGCGACGTCCAAATGACCTCCGCAGGAACCGGTATCCGGCACAGCGAGCACGCGCACGGACCCAAACAAGTCCACTTTCTTCAAATCTGGGCACTTCCCTACCAAAGAGGCCTTCAACCCAAATACTACAACCGGTGCGTCCTGTCTTTGTCGTATAGGCATAATGACCCGAGCTAACTTGGCTGCAGCCACTTCACCGACGCCGAGAAAACTAACAAGCTCGCGACGATAGTCGCCCCGGTCAACAGTCCGGGCGTCATCGACTCTCGCGAGGCCCCTGGGCCCACTCCGATCCACGCTCAGCTTTATATGCACGCGTCTCTCGTCTCGCCACAGACCACGCTCACGCACGCCTTGCCCAAGCCCGCCAGCACTTCCTCGCCCGCCAAGGCGTACATACATGTGATACAGAAGTCGGGGTACAACACGGGCCCGGCGAAGGGCGGGAGGGTGAAGGTGAGCGGCGCCGGCGAGGAGGGTGTGGTCCTTGGTGAGGGCGATGGGGCGTATATCGCCGGTGAGACCCGCGCAGAGCTGAGGATAGAAAACGTCGGCGATAGAGTGTGCGAGATTGTTTTGTTCGATGTGGATGCTGCCTAGGTGGCGGGGGTGGCGGGTGAGATACCTTTGTGAATTCTTGACTGCAATCTGCGATGTTTCCGTTAACTATCACGCTCATGTAGGAATGTGAATCTGTACGTTACTTGTACTTTAATGAAGATCTTTAACCTTCAATAATAATCTCTCAGTGTGCCTGGCCTTTGGAGGCACAAGAAATTCTTTAAGACAAAGACGGCCACGCTAAAGGAAAGCTTAGCAGCGCTCCGCATCGAGCAGTAGCCCTGAAGAGAAGTAACGCATCCAAGCTGTATCTAATGCCACCTTCACGTGGTTTGCCACAAATGGGATGAAAAATGTAAGACAGGGGTTTGTGGCCAAAGTGTGGCACCGCAATACTGCCGATGTGGCGGCTGAGGTATAAATACCAGGTACCGCGCGGACGTGTCTCACCCTCAATCCCTCTCACTTCTCAATCTACCCAAGAAGTTCGCGTCGAATCATCACTGATCACAACCAACATGCGATCTTTATTACCATTCATGCACCGTAAGACCAAGCTCCAGAAGAAGAGCGGTATATCCTCTCAATGATACTTTTTCGCTGGTGCGTACTGACCTAGCATACATACTCACAGATATTGTCGAGCGTTTGTCCTTGGTGAATAGACTCCCAGACGAAGCGGAACGCTCTCTCCTCCTGGACGAAGTGGCCAACGCCACCGCGTTACTGGACTCGATAAAATCCAAAAGTCGTTCTCGTCAAGAAGACCGTATCCTGGTCCAGGCGTATGCCGATAAATGCAGGTCTCTACTTTCTCCTTTTCGAGGTCTACTGGGACTACCGCTGGAACTGCTCCATGAGATTTTTCTCCACTGCCTGCCAGAAGAAGATAGGTTCTTAATTCCCTGGCCCGACCGTGCACCCGTGGCCTTGCTGGCGGTTTGCAAGTACTGGAGGGACGCTGCGCTCTCTAACACGGAGCTGTGGTCCTCTGTGCATATACATTACTTGTCCCCCCACCGACGAGAAGCTTGGCTAGCGCGAGCCCAAACCCGACCGCTTGCTCTGTCATACGACTCCACTCGGACTGATGAACGCGGCGAGCAAATGACCCGAAGCATCCGCTTCTTGATCAGTGTTGCCCATCGTTGCAGCGTGCTGCATCTGAGTCTGCCACCTGACAGCTTCCCTCAAGTCAATCGAATGGAGTTGCCGGATTTGCCACTGCTCACTGAGCTCGAAGTTCGGGACTGCCACCTGGCTCGTGCCTCTGAAACGTTTACCCGTGATCAGGGAACGGTGTCCCTTCCGAACCTCCGGTCCTTCAAGTGCACATGGCTCTACCCAGAGCAGTATGAGGACCTCTCCCTGCCTTGGAGCCGGCTGACGAACTTGGACGTGCAAGTCTGTTCTCCGGCTTGCCTTACCCGACTATTGAATTTTATCGACGAATGCCAGGAACTTCGACGCCTGCTTCTGAGGCTCACTCCAAACTCTCAAACCTTTCATTGGATTGCCCCCGTCACTTCTATCTGCTTGACCAACCTGACTGAGCTGGGCCTGTATTCCTGGTCGAGCGAATTCAATATACGCACACACAACCAGTTGAGGAAGATATTCAGTGACCTGGTTCGGCACCTTAACCTTCCTCGGCTAGAAGCCCTTTCTATAGGCAACTCCGCGACAGGGTGGCCTGATTGGAGAAGTCTAATCGTTCGCTCAAACTGCTCCCTGCAAAAACTATCGATTGCCGGGATGGACGAGATGGCCCCGATGCTGGAACACTTTATGCCGCTTCTCGCTATTTGTCCAGGACTCCAAGCGCTGCAAATTGTTCACGATCATCAACATTTCAGCTTGGAGGCGGTTAAACTCTTCGACTGCCTGATTAACCGCGCATCCTCGGACGATCCTACGCTCACGCTGCCGGAATTGCAGGTTTTACGGGTATTGGTCCGTTTCGAACATGAGGATGGATACGACATGTTCAAGGACCATGTGAAATCTCTACTCCACTCGGGAAGCCAAGGTCGATCTGCCCAACCTATCTTCTTTGCAGAGATTGGCCTCGAGAGTTGGTGGCAAGCGGGCAGTGGGCGCAAGACTTGGACGTGGACCCGGAGAAATTTGATCGAGCACATTGAGGAAAAGACCATCTAAACCGCGCCGTTTAGAGGGCACGGCTAATCCTTATTGTGACGAAGTACTGATTTCTCTATATATCAACGATCCAGCCCATCTCTTGTATGTAGGATAGACTAGTATAATGTATTGCACTGCTCTAACGCGGTACAGTACCATAATTAGTGGCTTTTTGCATCAATGGAGCAGAGGTCAACCATTGATCAGACACAGTCCCCAGTTAGCTGCGTTAGATCTCAGGAACTTGTGGCCGTGGATATGGCACGCGAAGTTCACGTGAGGTCACAAGCAGCGACGCCGTCACAGCTCAAACGCCCTTGGTTTCGTTAAACCCCAACCTGCAGCTGAGGCCTGGGCCTGAACGCCTGGCCCAAGCCTGTGGGCTTAGCTCGGCCCGGAAAATCACTGATGCGTGCCCCTCCAAAAGGTGAACGTTGGAACAAGGACAGCGACAATAGGGAGATTCAGTTCCAAATGCGAAAGCGGCTTTCTGTCGCTTTTCGCAGCGTCGAAGTTACAGCCACCGGCAAGGGGCCATGCATTGCGTTCTGGAAATGGCAATCGACCCCGTGCGAAGTCGCGAGTCTCGCTCATTGAGCTCTCTCATTGGCTCTGCGCTTGCAAAAAGCAGCAGCTTGACCGGGATCCCACGCCTTTCCGGCCGAGCCGAGAAAGCGGTTTCTCAGAAAGCGACGAAAAGCGGCTTTCATAGTTAGAACTGAATCACCCTAATGACTGTCGCATATGTACTTTCACCCTAATGACTGTCGCATATGTACTTGAGGCGGGTATCAACATCTAGTAAGAAGATGCGCATGCAGAGATCCTTTTAAGTCGGGGCCTCTGTTCAGTTGTCGTCCAGACTCCAGAGAGGCAAGGCAGCACGCCACATATGGCCCTTCCACTGGCACTGAGGTTCCAAAGCCAAGAGAGATTTCGTTGTCATACAGGGTACAGAGCAAGTGGTCATTACGAGGCAGACTGCGCAAGAGATATAGGGTGCCTTGCCACAATGGAGCAGAGAGGCAACACGAGGGCAATCACCGCGTGTGGCAGACTGTGACCGTGACAAATGTAACACGCTGCCGCCGCCTTGGCCGCCAACTGCCTCGAACGTCGTCGATGACTTTGGCCATTGTGGCCTCTACTGCTGACGTTTTCAGCTCCTCCTATGGCTGCTGTCCGACACGCTCCCATGAACGGTGCGACACAAGCGCATCCTTCAAGGCGGGATAATCACTCGGTTTCGTCAACCCATTCGGCGTCCAGGGGCGACCGTGAAGGCAGGAGAAGAGGGAATGTATGCTCGATTTCACTTGGGAGGTTGTAGTACCGCTGATGATATGTCTCTTCGATAGCCTGCTGTAGAGTCGGCAGTGACTCGTTTGCTTGTGTCAATAAAACAACTTTTGGAGTCCCTCACGTTATGGAGCACACAACAGCTGACAGAGACGCAGGTTAGCGACGTGTATGTCAGGTTGGGAAACGATTTCAATGCAGCCGTGGCTGCGTTCAATGCATTCCGCATCGATATGACGTGCGTGCCTGGTCTATCCTCATTTTCGTACGACTGAGCATTTCCCGCCTCAATAGCGATTTAGCAACTGTGCCGGATGATCTACGCGGTGTGCTGGAAACATGCCTAGCCGAGGATGCGACTCCGGAAAATCTGGACCAGTATCTACCGCAGGTACGCGCTATCATCACAAATCTACTGCAAGGGCTCCGCGGGAAGCAGTCCATATACCGGCGCATCGTTCAGGACCACCGGCACGGCTCCTCGCAGTCCTCCTCGAGCCACGGTCATGAACGTACGGAGAGCCGATCCTCGCGATCAGATCGCTCGTCACACAGAGAAGACGAGGCGGTAGCGGCAGCGGCAGCGCGGATCCAGCACTCTCGCAGCCTACCGAACGGCGATGGCGAGCGAAAACCGGATGCCGTTGCGCGGCGGAGCGCGACTTCGTCGTCACGGAGAAAGCAAGCTGCCTCGACGCTCTCGCAGCCGCCCGCTACCGCCGACAGTGACGAGCCTTTCGTCGGCGGATTTGCCCCACCGGCACCTGGGCCCGAATCTGACTTGCCCAGCCTGCCGCCTCAGCCGGACAGGGCTTCAGCCCCGGTTCAGTCTGCGCCGCAGAGGAGAACACAACCGTCCACGAACAGCTTACCGCCTCTCCCCGCTGCCCCGCCAGAGGAGCGCAAATCCCTAAACGGAACTCCCAAACCACCAGAGCAGGCCACGGCGGAAGAAGAGCGCCCCGAAACTCCGTCCTCCCCTCCCCCCTCCCAGCAAGCCCCCGCACACATGAAGCGATACTCACTCGTGGACAAACCGATGCCGCCCTCGGTCGTCATCGACGAAGTGTCCACCCCTTCACCTTCCGAAGACGTGCAAATGGCCTCGCGGCAGGGCGCAACGGGCACCCCACCTCCCTTCGACTCGCCCCCGCTCGAGCCGACTCCCGCCGTCGCCTCTTCACTCGCGGCACTGCAGAAGAGCGACGCGCTTGAGCGGCGTGCGAGCAAGCGATTCTCTTCGTACAACATCAACAAGATGACGGGGGCGAAGTCGCTTGGGGGCGCGGGCAACCGACGTTCAATGGCGGTTGGCTCGGCGCTCACGCCCGGCGAGCTCGCGGTGCTTACGGAGGAGGGGGAAGAGGAGCAAGCGCTGGAACCGAGTACAGGAAGCTTTAGGAGGAGGTCGAGGGCGTATCGAGGGGGAACGTCGCCGATTGCGGAGGAACCGCCTGCGCCGCCTGTACCGCCGCTGCCATCTTCGACTGCGCCCACTCCGGAGCCAGGTCCGTCGGGTGAGCGTGGGGAAAGCCCAGGCGAACTGGAGCAGGCCGCCAAGAAGGAGGGTGAGCAGGGGAGGTCGTCCAGGTCTTTCCCTGTTTTCTTGCAGCTCGGGCGAGAGGTCAAGAAGGTGAAGATCGAGCCGGGGTTATCGTTCTCATCCTTGAGAGTCCTGTTCGTAGACAAGTTCTCGTATAACCCGGGCCTGGAGAATTTTCCTGCGATATACATCCGGGATCCGTCCAGTGGGGTGCAATATGAGTTAGAGGACGTGGACGAGGTCAAAGAGAACTGCCTGCTGTCCCTAAACATCGAACGTACGTAAATCGCTTTGCCTCGCGGTCTCTTGCAGCTGCTGACTTATGTGTCCCGATAGCTCTTGACCAAATCAAACAGCATATAGATGCTCAAATTACCACGCTATCGCAAGATATCAAGGATCTGCGATCGCTGGTTAGCAGTAACCGGCGGATGTCGCATCCGCCCCCCATGATCATTGGCCAGCCGCTAGGCGAGAGTACACCACCACCCAACCGTCCTACGGACCGTCAATTCCAGCACGTCGCCCGCAGACTGTCTCGTCTGGTGAATAACGACGACAACACGCTCACGCCCGATGCGATGCAGGCAAATATGACTGGTCAGTCAGTGATGCCGCAGGTCACGGGCGGGTCTGTCCTCTCAGAGTACTCAAACCGCGTGGTTGCCGATCTTAAGACGCAATTCGACGAAGTGCAGAATCTCCGGCGGGACTTGGGCATTATGCGGCAACTCTACGCGGAGTTCATGAAACAGACGAAGGAGTCGCTGGGTACACTCCGCACGCAGACCGCGAACGTGCGGCAGCTCGCGGCGGCCAAGGTCGGCGGCGCGCGGCAGTACATCGACGACGGGAAGACAAAGTTGGACATGCGCTCGCAGAACGTGCTGACGAAGATGGAGGAGCTACAGGACCTGGTCGAGAACGTCAAGGACGATGTGCTGAAGCGGCACGTCACGCCGAAGCCGCAGGTGCTGCGTGCGATCAAGGACGACGTCGACCGCGTGAGCGCGGAGCTTGAGAGCCTGCGCGAGCACATCGGGACGATCAAACCGATGTGGAAGAAGACGTGGGAGGAGGAGCTGCAGAACATCGTCGAGGAGCAGGGCTTCCTGAACCACCAGGAAGAGTTCCTGAACGACCTGCTCGAGGACCAGAAGGCGGTGCTGGAGGTGTACGGGCACATCGAGAAGGTGATCTCGCTGCGAGGGACGGGGCGCCCCGGCTCTCGCGGGCGGCTGCGGCCTGTGAATGGCGGCGTGGGGTTCATGCCGCCGCCCGCGGAGGAGGGGCACAACGGCCTGTCCACGGTTATGCTCGAGATTCGGAACGCGAGCGTGGACCCCGAGCGGCGGCTGAAGGCGATCGAGGCAAGCCAGAAGAACCGCGAGCGGGAACTGGCGAAGAAGGGGGACGAGTTTGAGGAGGAGCTGAAGGGGTTCGTGAAGGGCGGGAAGCTGCGGATGACGGGTGGGGCAGAGGAAGCGGAGCGGGTAAGGAAGAGGAGGGATGAGATGGCATTAAAGGCCATGTTCTCTGGAGGCTCGGCGGGGCCCAGTGCCAGCGGGTCGGGTGGGGAGTCGTGAGGTGCGGTGCACATACGTCGCTGTAATGTTTTCCAGTCAATCGGTCAGTCTCCCTGGATCTGCTCTCTTGCGCTTCAATGCATTCTTCTTACTTCCACTGCAATTTGTCGTTGTTCTTCATTCAGTTTATCACATTTTCTGTAGCCATTTGGACGCCGGCGGTACCATTACGAGCCTACTCACATTGTTCACGATAGTGTATTATAGTGCACTGCATAATTTATTGCTTCGCCATCTATTATCGCCACGAAAAAATGGTAATACACCGAAGCCTCAGCAAACGGAAAACTAAAATACACACGAACCAGATCCCGCTGTCTTAGCTGGTTGCGCCTTCGTACGGTGGCGGCGCTCCCCGCCCAGCAAGCACCATCTCATCGACGATCTCGTCCTGCTCCGTGCGCTTGTACGTCTTGATAGTCTCGCCGTAGTCCGAGATATCGTACACCCTGAATCGGCGGTCGAAACCAACTTTGCCATATCCAGAGTAAGACCTGCAATACAGGCAAGTCAGGACATCCACCCTCAAGCCACGCAGGCCGACAGACTTACCCTCCACCGCCAAAGCATAACCATACCCCTCTAACCCTCCTACAATTCTCCGTGACTGACGCAGAACCGTCAATATCACCTCGACGCCAAAACCGCCTGCACTGATACTCACTATGACAATGCCCGTTGCCCACGACCTTTACCTCGGGCAAAGCCCCGCCCGCAACATGCTCGCTCTCCTTCGCGCCGAGCAGCGCCTTCTCGAAGAACCCATCGTTCTTCTTCGCCGAGCCCGGCGGCTCGAGGTTGTGCATGCCCACGTCGAGCGGCTGCCCGTTCGACGGGTTCGTGTCGGGGTCGCCGTACGATTCTTGGCTGGGTACGAGGAACCAGTGAGATGCGTAGAATGGGAACGCGGAAGGGCTTACAGAGGGATGTGGAAGAACGTGAGCGCGTTAGGCTTCGCGAGTCTCTTCGCGTCAGGCGTTAGCTGGTCGGTCGCCTGACGCTTCCAAATGTCCCCGAGATCCTTCGCACCGTCCGGCGTGAATGGCCGTTCGATCGCGTTGATCGATGCTACACGTAGTCAGAAACATCTCCCACGCCAGGGACTCGAGTAACTGCAAGAACATACCTGACTCTTGCAGGAACCAGTTGATTTGGTCCTATATACCCTTCAGCATCACGGCAAACCCAAGTCTGGCAGCGAAATATCGCATACCTCGTGGATGTAGTCATACTCGGTCGGATGCCAGAACCCGAACCAATCCAACGTCCCCTTTGAATACGCCCCCGAATCGAGGAAATAGAGCGTCAAGAGATGCGTCTTCGATCTAAGCAGTCACCCAATCAGCCCTTATCCCCCCAACAATAATTCCCGACTCACGCATCCGCGCTCATCACCTTGAGCACATAATTCCCGACCCCATGCACGTCCTTGGGACCAGGTTGTACGAGACTATATGGCATCGCCGCCATCCACCTTGCCTGCTCCGCGCGGCTCACCCCATCTTCATCGTCGTGGTTCCCGAATACCGCCGCCCAGGGCACACCCGCATCCACTACCGCAGCCGCGAACTTGGCGAGCACGCTCTGGCTGTCCCACGACGTGCCCTGCCCGTTCAGCTGGTCGCCTGTGAACACGACGAGGTCAGGCTTCTCCTCCGCGAGGACGTGCGCGATGAGGGACTGCGTGCGGTTGTCCGAGTCTTTGCAAGGCGCTGGCGTGTCCCGGCACACGCCGGGCGAGACGGAGAAGTGCAGGTCGGCGACTTGGAGGATCTTGAAGCGGCCGTCATGCGAGAAGTGGAGGGGCTGCGCCTTAGGCGGGGCTGGGTTCGCGAGTATTCATTACAATGGAACCTGGGGAATGCAGAGCTGCTGTGTACGCACCTTGGTACTTGCGCCGGTACGTCACCCACACCGTCTCCTTCCGCCCATCACTCTCCAGCACGGGCGTCGCGACCTTCTCGAACCCCCACCACGCGCGTGCGTCCCCAAAGAGCACGTCCAACTCCGTGATATAGTCATCCCGCCCGCCCTTCACCGTCATCTCGCGCGTCGTTTTGCCGGTCTTGTACCAGAGGAATAGTCCCGGCGTGCGCGGGACGCCGTCGCGGATCGAGCGGTCGACTTTGTGCCACTCGTAGGGAGGGTCGGCGGGCGGGGGTGCTTGCGATGCGGGGAGGAGCTGGACCTCGGTTATGAGGGGGACGTCGAGGCGGCGGGTGCGGCGGTACCATAGGTGCTAGAGAGCAATATGGAATGAGCAATGGTCAGACAGGTATTGGTGGATGATTCGTACCAGATACCACATGCCGGACTGGAAGTTGAGATCGTGCTCGACGCGGACCCATTTACCTTTGATTGCGTCCTGCTCTGGCGTCGTAGCTGGTCTGCAGAGGCTGTTTGCCATCTTCGGATTGATCATGCATCTCTCAATTGCAATCTCCGACACTATGCGGATGAGACGCGTATAGCGAATGCTGGAACTATCAAGGTAGTGTTGCACTCACGGCCAGTATCATGCGGTAGCAGCGGATTCCATACATCCAAAGGCAAGCTCGCGCTGTCCACGTTAGGGTCATTCGGCGTAGTTACATTCCACCAATCGACACCTCCATCATCCCCACCGGGAGCTGCGGGAGGAAGACTAGTCGTCTCGTCCTCGGAACCCGTCGAGATATCGACAGAGACCGTGTCCCAGGACTGCCAGCCCAGTCTCTGCAGCTCACCTGGTCCGGGCGTAGGCTGGTAAAGGATGAATATGACGGTAAGCAGGCAGGAGAAGCCGATGATAGCCGTCATAGGGACGCATATTGACCGGAAGAAACGGAAGACGCGGAAGAGGGAGAACGCCATGGCTGGCTAGAGCCTTCAGGCCCGAGTGCGACGTCAAATGCAACTCTTGTAGCGAAATATGTCCGGAATGCAAGAAGCGTGCTGCAAAATAAGACAGTGCCCGCTGCCAGTGCCAGTGACGATGAGCGCGAGGGTGCAAGTGCAGGCGTCGTACCGCGATCGACATACTGGGGAAACGTGGGAAGGTGTGACAAATGCGCAGTTATCCGTGACGCAGCGTAGGAGGTGGGGGGGATGCAAGACGATGGACAAGTTCGAAGCAACCCTTTGGGCTATATTTTTCAGAAGAAATGTTGACCTTTACAAACGGCGGCACGAAGAACTCTGCAACTCTGGTACTCTGACAAAACTGTATTCAACAGCCTTTCTTCCATAAACGGGTGTTTCAGCCACCAGTACCAAGCAGACGCAAATACTTGAGTGTACGATAACCTGCAACAAACCTGGGACTTGTATTGCATTTTCCGGGCACGCTGCAGGCTGAGGCCCCTCATGCAGTCTCTTTCAAAATGCTTTACTCGTTTGTACGCTACCATTCCACAGCCTGCAGCCGTTGCTAGGACCGCCTCTACACCCCGGCAAGTCCGTCTTCGCCGCCTGCGCAAACGAAAGGCACCCGTTCCCCCAGGCAAGTCCGACGCCCTGCCTTCTGGCGCAACGCCCAGCGAGCATGACCGCTACCGGCGCCTGCGCGCGCTCGGCGAGCTTGTTACGAGAGACGGCGCACACGAGTACTCGGAGGAGGAATGGCTCGACAAGCTGAACAGCCAGCGCACGCGCATCCGCGGTATCGTGCAGGTGAAGCAGGGCGAGGATGCGGGCAAGAAGAAGATCGTCGGCCAGCGCGTCTACCTCCCGAACCTCGTCTTCCGCCTCGTGCGCAACCACACCCCACCCGGCCAGCCGTACAACCCGTACGAGGCCACTTTCCGCGTCCCGCAGTCCGTCACCAAGAACGACGTCCGTGGCTACCTCGCCAGCGTCTATGGCGTCAAGACCACGTACATCCGCACCGACAACTACCTCTCGCCCGTCTACCGCGGCGGGAACGGCTCCTGGTCCGTCACCAAGAGCTATAAGACGTACAAGCGCGCCGTCGTCGGCCTCGTCGATCCCTTCTACTATCCCCAGGCGCTCGAGGACATGCACCAGGAGGAGCGCGAGGCGCGCCAGAAGTGGATCGAGGATAAGTTTGGGCTCGAGAAGATCAGGGAGTACAGGCAGTATATCCTCCTGAGAATGACGAGGAAGAACTCCAAGGACTGGAAGTGGAGTGGCGTCAGCCCGAACCGGCGAACTATTATGAAGAAGATCGGGCTCGCCAGGAGCGAGAGGGAGGCGCAGATCCATAACACAAAGAAGATGATCTTGGAGGCGAGGGCGAGCGGGAAGCCAATATCCGAAGTCCTGGCATCCAGTCAGACAGAGGCACCCGCGTCATGACGTTACCCATAGGTGCGTGTTTGCAGCGTTGTACCGTACGACGAACGGCTCAGCGAACGCTCAGATTAGTGCTTACTTTAGATGTGAACCCTAATGACACTGCGGCCATCGCCTTCTGCCCTGAGAGACTGAGCCTTACATGCCGACTTGCATCACCTATCTCTTACTGGTAAGTTCCCAGCATTAGCAAATCTTTCCCCGTGCATATCTTCTTCCAAGCCGACTATGCAAAGAAATCGGGGTTTCCGGTTCAAATGCAGAGGGCGTGACTGAAAAGCAAAGTGACCGCTGAGATCTCCTGAATAAGGGGACCGCAATTGCACAAATCCCACCGCTCGAGATGTCCCGCCTGCCTTCGCGCAGGACAGTATAACTGATGGTATTGGAAGCCTAACGCTCCATCGCTTGCTAGAATACAACATGTACTTATTCATTAGCCCCCTCACGCATCTCGAGTGCCTCGAACCTCACAGCCCTGAACCCGCCCGCCTCCGCCATCTCTATCTCCATCTCCATCTCCATCTCCTTATCCTCCGCGCCCACCTCCCCACCATCGAGGAAATCCAAACACCCTTCCAAACACCCCCTCCACAGGAAACACACCACGCCGCCAAACGCATGCCCCCCGCCATGGCTCTGCCACGTATACCTCTCCTCCGCGGGGTGCACAAACACTGGCTTCCTATACCTCCCATCCTTCGGGCGGAGGTGTCGCGGGCTCGGACACACACCCACGCCCGTCACGCCCTCCCAGTACCGGCACACATCCCCCAGATCGCGCGTCGGGCGCGGGAGCCTGACCAGCTTCGCCGGGCGGGGCGGGCGGATGACGGGCTGCGGGACGGAGCCGGGCACGCACGCGCCGAGTGTCGCACTGATGGGCGGCGGGAGGAGCGACGCGAACGCGGGCGGGAGGGGCGTGCCGTAGAGCGTCGTGAGCAGCGGCTGGCGACCGTCCGCGTCGAGCGCGGAGCAGAGGCCGTGCTCGTGCGCGGGGGCGAAGAGCGCGCGGAGCGCGAGCTCGGCGAGTGGGGGGAAGCGCCCGATGAGGGAGGTTGTTGGGGAGACGGAGGGCGGGGAGGGGGGCGCGAGCCACGGGTTAGGGTGCACGCTGAGGATGCTGAGGTGCATGGTGAGCAGCTCGGCAGGGAGGTACTTTAGCTTGTTGTTCGCGATGTTGAGCTCTTTTAGGTGGGTGAGGTGGACGATTTCGGGCGGGAGGACCTCGAGGGCGTTGTTGCCTTTGCACCGCTCATCAGTCTGACGAGGATATGCGGGGCAGTAAGAGGATCGACTTACTCAGGGAGAGAACGGTTAGATGACTGAGGGTGAACACCTCGTTCGGGAGGTACTTGATCACGTTTCCGCGGAGGAAGAAATGGATCTCCTGCTCCGGCCTGGCATCGTCGGAGAACAGCTTCGCGCTCGCCGAGGTGACCTTCGCTGGTGCCCTCGTCGTCCCGAAGAGAGATCCTCCAGCAGGGGCTGTCGCCGAGCGCATCAGGGCGCGCTGCTGCTTCAGCGCGACGGGCACAGGCGCCGCGTGCTCTTCCTTCTCGGGAAGCTTGACGAGCTTCGCGAGGTCAGAGATGGACGGCGGGATGAACGTCAGACCTTGGTTGCTGCATGGCACGCACGTTATGTTATGTAGGCACGCGAGGAGATTATATGCGTACCTCAGGTCGATGATGGTGTGTTTCGGCTCCCGAGCGGGCATGCGCCCTTTCTTCTTCGGTTCCTCCTCGAGCGCCGCCATCCTGTCGATCGCGATAGCGCTGCTCATCGCGTCCTCCCAGAGCGCGAGCTCCCTGCTCTCCTCTGGCGTCAGCAGCGGCTGCGTCTTGAACACTCCTCCCCCTCCCGCATGGCTCTGGCGTAGACGGCTTATGGGACTTTCGTCACGTCTCGTTCTCGAGGGGCCTGCACTGTGCAAACTGGTCTGCGGTGTAAGCGGAGGGGTGGCGGGTGTTTTCTTCTCATAGGACGGATGAGGCCGGTTGGCCTTGACTGATCCTGCGAACGGATCCAGCATAGGAAAGTCGTGCAGTCCGTCAGAGGAAAACGCGTTAGAATGCATTGGCTCATGGTTGGGAGATGAAGGAGGAGAAGAGTCAGCGGATAAAGTCGGGGAAACGGGAGGGGATGAAGGAGGTGCATAGGCCTCCAGCATAGAAAGCATAGTATAGTATAGCACTCAAGCTACTTCGAGAGTGCAGCGTCGACGTTAGTGGATTTACAAGCTCGCTAGACACGTAGACCTGCCTTTAGTATGCGCTATGCAGCAACGAGGACGCGTGTATGTAGGCGTCGAACAGTCCTGTCCTTTCACCTCAGTCACTTACTCTGTCCCCTCTAATGAGCACCAGGCCTTATGCTGGAGTCCTTATGTAGTATGCCAGTGCAACTGCCTCAGTATACGAGCACCGTAGTAATGCAATAATTGTAGGGAACAGAGTAGTTCGTCGACCGGTGAACGCAATAACAAAGCAGGGAGTGTGCATAACCCGGGAACGCGGTCACTATTGAGAGGCACGGCAGACGCCGCGCGGATGTCATGTGATCGTGCTTTCGCTCGCAGCTGAGCCATTCAGAGCTCTCTCCGGAGTGGGTCGTGTGGGTCCTCGACTTTGTACGAAGAGTGCGAAAGTACAAGCCAGAGAAACGAGAAAGCGAACAATCAACGTTAGGTTTAAGCCGATGGGCCTCCGTTCGATAAACGCCAGTACCATGTACAGGATGGGAAGGCTTTGGATACGCTCGGGACTGCGGTACTGTATGTATACGCCTGAATGCCTCAAGTAGTGTAAACGTATATCAGCACGTCATGACAGGTAACGAGGTCCTCACATCCAGCGAACGTCCGTGAACCGCTTGAATGGGCCTAGGGGACGGCAATACCCAAGCTGGTTGACCTTCTTAGTACTACGAACCAGCAGCCGTCCATCAAAGCTTCCAGCCAAGTTGAAGGAGATATCTGGAACCTGGACATGAAACTCAAGTAAGAACGGGGCACCGAGTCAGAGTCTGTGGCACCGACGAAAACATTTACTCTATCACGAGACGACGCACATTGGGCGCTGATCGCAGCACACCATAGAACTCTCAATCCGAAATCAAAGCGAGCCCGCACACCTATAAGTACTATCTTCGGATCTGCAAGCTAGCTTCGAAGTCGCCTTCGACCTATCCCCGAGTCTACGCCGCACCTCCCATTGGCCGGAGATTTTGGGGCATCGGACCGTAGTTAGGACCGAGTACACATACGACGAAGCGAAACATGATTGTAGATCGTTGGAGCGACATTGGAAATGGAATCACGAAGGGGGGACTAACCGTTATATCGATATACCCAACCCAGAGGGAGCTAATCACAAGAACGCTGCAGCTTTGGAGAGCTTTGGCCCTCGGGATCAGGCACCGCAGCCTGAGTACAGATGAACGCTCGTCGTCAGACGAGGAAAGCCTGACCCAACCTCGGAGTGGGCGTCAGCTTTGACAATCGTGTATACGTACCGGCGCTCGACGTCCAACGGACCCTCATGATGGGGTGCGTCTTCGATGAACACTTCAATAATATTCCAAAGAGTGCTGCAAAGTTTCAGTACGAATGAAAGTAGGCTCCCCTCGAGCCCATCATGGGTGCATTACGAAGCATAGGCCCCGAAGCTGCCAGACTGGAGCTTGGCGACTTTGAGACAGATGTTTCGTAGCGGTCCGACACTGTAGCTGCCAGAATTTGAGCGCTAGAAGTGTCTCTTTAACAACACGTGGATCAGTATTTCAGAATCTGGTGTCAAGGAAGGAGCATTCAGACTTCAGAATAGTATTGATGCCAGCGAGATATATACCGGCATTTGTGGATGGCCGCAATTAGCACAATCTAGGACGCCGATACAATAAGGACAATATGTACGGGTGCAACCAACTAATACTCACCGAGAACGCCTACTCTATCATGCCAAACCTTCCTAGGGCGCTGATGGTAGCGAACCACCTCTAACGGCGTACGTACATAGAACAATAGCGAGCTCGGGCAGCTGCATCACCACGAGCCCGCGTAAGCAGCGTCGGAATCTCCGGATCTTCGAGGCATTCAGAACGTTCTCTGAGTGTACTGGAGCGCCTCATCCTCATCGATCATCCCCCGTACCGTCCGGCGAGCACGGATCCCTTCAGCATATATTGCGAGTCTGCTAGTGAGATTTGAAATACGATCGACGCCCAAGGCAGAGGTTGATGGATGAAGGATCGTTGCACAGGAGATGATCGGGCCGGCGTTACATACGTAGAGAACGTCGGCCACGTGTGCGTGACGCGACGCGTATAATGGCAATCTTTCGTCGCGTCGTCGTCGCGGTGGTAGCGAGGAGTGCTCGTGTTTCGCTTGCGAGCGTTTCCCTGCAGCCGAAAAGAGGCGAAAAACCTCGGGTATGATAGCGGGCCCAAACGCGTCTCCAAGACCCTTAGAAAGTGTTGGGAAAATTGCTCGGACACCTTCGTGTCAACAGATAAAGAGCTCCACGTACTGGAATGTGAAGAACATAAGTCAACCCGACTCCGACTCCCAGGGAGCGATGCATGGACAAATTCTGCCGCAGAGACCCGATATGGAAATGGCCCCACCATATACGGCAACGTATAGGAGGAACCGTTCTGGCGCGTCGGGAGTCGGGATGGTTGTTTCTTTGCCTTTGATTTTCGAGCATGTATCAAAAAGAACTTGAAGTTGACCGTGGAGAGATTGAATGTGGCTGAGGCGCGAGAGTCAGAGTGGGCAGGAAGGAGCCTCTGACGTTGGCGGGACAGCGGGCGTAACATGTCAATCCGAGCTCCAAGTTCAATGAATGTGGATCATTCAGCGACGTCGGACATTCCTCTTGGCCCTAGGTGGCTGAAAAAGTAACCCGACTTGGTGGTTCCCGAGAATAATGAACAGGTCCACGTATGTATGGGTTTGACGCTGCAGCCTTTTAACATCCGCGCTTGTGGCGGCCATCTTAACGAAATCGACCCGGAATATCGCACATAACGTACGCCGAGGGCGCAGAAGGAGGGTCGGGAACTGTACACTGACAGTTGCTATTAAAATACTGACATCGGTGACGCCGTCCAGGGTCGTACTCCTCTGTCGGGACTGCGTGCTCTCCGGGCAGCGGGGACTTGTAAAGTCCAACGCGTTCTCCTCAGAATATACTTACCGTAGAAATGGCGAGGACATCGGATGACTGCCCAAGCCGGAGCATGCAGAGAGCGCACCGGATGTCGCGCCGCACCAGGGCTTGGAGGACGATAACATGAGCAGCGATAGCGTGCAATCTCGATCGTGGCGCCGGTAGTGGTGGGAAATTTTCAATTTAGACCGGATGTGGCGGGCCTCGTGTCGCTCGTCGCGGGCCCTCGATCGTTACCCACCGTATTGTCCTGCATTTTGCAGGGCAAAGACAAAACATGAGAAGTGGTCGAAGACACGTTGTTGTTTTCCGTCGTTGTGTGTCATCGTTGAGGAAGTGTAGGTCCAGCTTGAATACGAATGGGGCAAGTGACGCCGTGACGGGCGGCATTGCGACGGTCGCCAGGGGCTGGGCGGGAATCGGGATGCGGAGAAACGAGCAGGTCGCTTCGATTCGCTCACGTCAAGAGAAGCCCGCCGGCCCAGGCTCCTAAACCATCCGTCCTTAGCGTTCTCGCTCCTCCTTTACTAGGGCGCACGTGCAGTGTTATGTAATACAAATCTATTTTTAATTTATTACCGGATACAGAACGAACAAGAGGAGGAAACGCTATAGGACGGCTGGCACAAATGTCGTCGCCGAGATCCCCGAGGCTGACTAAGCGGACGGTGGCTGAAGCCTTTCAGCAGCGGTCGGCGGGCCTTCACGCAGCCATTTGCAACTTATTACCTTGGGATTTACCGCTCGGGGTACTTTATAGCAATGTAAAAATGTCCTGACTGAATGGTATACTCATGCAATGGTTATCAGTAGTACCGAAGGCTGAATATCCGGCTGAAGGGGCATAATGGCTATAGACAAGCCCCTCTGAGCGTCAGAAGTATACCAAAGGTATTTGCATTGGTCTTAACCCATTTTAGCACCCGTTTATATGT